CCAGTGGCAAATGTTGCATGCATATTAAAGCCATTGTGTCAGATAATCAAATCGTGAAGATATTGCATATGTGTCTAGTCTACTTAAACATTTGCTTTTTTTGTGTATTTTCGGAGTGAAGAAAGAAAGAATTCTGCAGAACCGCAGACACGCACGTGCTTCGAATGTGTTTTCTGGAATAAAACCACTACGCAATTTTAAGCATTTACAGCTAATTTGTCTTAAGTTCAAATAAAGTGGCAGTCATTTCATAGCAAAAATATTTTATCCTGACCTGACTGTGCAGGAAAACTCAACATATCTTTAATTGCATAAAAGAGCGCACTGCATGGTTCCCGATAAACTGGTCCGCCATTCCATCTAAAGCTTCGCACAGTTAGTGTAGCGATAACTGAACACAACAGGGGTCCAGTTTAGGTGCCCGAAAGTTGGGTAGTATAGAAACAGGTTCTTCTGATCCGAGCAACAAGGCAAATATGTCCCCTATCATAATTTCATATTTATTTTATTATTCATGAGAAACTTTCATCAAGGGCTTAAATTCTAAGTTTTTTGCTAAGATACTTTACTATATATAATGCTGTCATAATTAAAACTTCACCCCTTGCACGTGAAAAGTGGTGTAAATTTGAACTGATAATCTTATAAAGTAAAAACAGCGAATTTCATACCGTTCAGTTTTGTGTTGTTGGCTAGCTGTTTTATTGATGTATACTAGTACCTTGCATCTCCTTTTATTCATATTGATGTATACCTTGCATCTCCTTTTATTCATATTGATGTATACCTTGCATCTTCTTTTATTCATATTGATGTATACCTTGCATCTTCTTTTATTCACATTGATGTATACCTTGCATCTCCTTTTATTCATATTGATGTATAACTTGCATCTCCTTTTATTCATATTTATGTATACCATGCATCTCCTTTAATTCATATTGATGTATACCTTGCATCTCCTTTTATTCATATTGATGTATACCTTGCATCTCCTTTTATTCATATTCATATTTTATGTGTCAAAAAGTTGTTACCTATATTTACTAAATATTGAAAATAATTCGCATTTTTTTAGCTGATGTTTATCATTTGAAAAATATGTTTCAAGGCACCCCCCTTTTCTTAAAAAAAAATACCAAAACAATGCAAAAAGCAAAAGTAAAAGAAAAACTCAAAAAAAATTGTTTTCCATACATAATACGTAACAAAACAAGCTACATCTTTCAGAGGTAAGCATACGATGTATAGGGTTTGAAACCCTTATATAGTACACAATTTGCAAAATTTCCTCAGAGAAGGTATTGGCAAAAATCTGGATCGTTATATACGTATTATATACGTTTGTAAGGTTTTTGCCATTTTTCGTCTATTTTGAAGTTGTGGTCTGCACAGATTAAAATTGAATAGTGCCAAAAAATTTTAAACATCAACTCAATCATGAAATGATTCTCTATCATGGCTTTTTCCTGATAACAAATACAAATTTTGCAAAATTTGATATAATTATTTCCGTATTATTGTACCTTTTTCATGAAATAAATTTTACATATAAGTTTGCTTGGCAAGATTCGTAAACTAACCGCAGTCTAGTAGTTACTGTCTAGTTCTGTTGGGAACTTAGCCCTCGTCGGGACTGAGTGAAACCCGTACGTACGTTGAGGCGACGGGATTAAATCTTAGATGCAACTAGTCCTATATCTCTCCCAGTTACTGGTGTAAGATAAAAGGGGGATGGTAGATATATAAAAAAAATTAATATATTAACCCCGTGACATGCAGTTTCTTTAACGTGTATGTGTCCCACGTCAGGAACGTTGTCGTTGACGGTCGTATATATGTCAGATCGTAATGTCAATTCCCCATATATTTAGAGAATTGAGTGTTAAGAGCAGATCTTAGATTGTTTCTGTTGAATTTAAATATATTTTTCATGGAATCGAGACAATTAAGAGCGAGACATATTGACAATGTGTGGTGATCTGTCTATTTGTCGAAGACTATATGTCTGCATCAAGATGGTCTTTTTTGGTTATTTCTGTCGTAGGGCTGCTGTTCCATAAAACATGGTATAACCCACATCAGTCTGATTCTCCTTCTATTTCACACTTAATTTTCCGTGTATACTGCTGGCTGAAAAAAAAAATATAAATCTGATAGCACTTTTGTGACTTATTGTTAGAACATCTGTCTGTTGTTGAAGATTACACGTCTGCTTCTAGATGTCTTTTTGGTTATTTCTGTTTTTGGGTTGCTGTCTCATTGACGTGTACCTCACATCTCCTTTCATTCAATGCAGCACTTAATTTTCCGTGTGCACTGATGGCTGAAAAAAAAATTATTATATAAATCTGATAGGCTAAGCACTGTCAGTTTTTCTTTGTATCAAGTATAGTGGATTGAGTTGATTGTTTTCTGCTTAACGTCCAGTGGCAAATGTTGCATGCATATTAAAGCCATTGTGTCAGATAATCAAATCGTGAAGATATTGCATATGTGTCTAGTCTACTTAAACATTTGCTTTTTTTGTGTATTTTCGGAGTGAAGAAAGAAAGAATTCTGCAGAACCGCAGACACGCACGTGCTTCGAATGTGTTTTCTGGAATAAAACCACTACGCAATTTTAAGCATTTACAGCTAATTTGTCTTAAGTTCAAATAAAGTGGCAGTCATTTCATAGCAAAAATATTTTATCCTGACCTGACTGTGCAGGAAAACTCAACATATCTTTAATTGCATAAAAGAGCGCACTGCATGGTTCCCGATAAACTGGTCCGCCATTCCATCTAAAGCTTCGCACAGTTAGTGTAGCGATAACTGAACACAACAGGGGTCCAGTTTAGGTGCCCGAAAGTTGGGAAGTATAGAAACAGGTTCTTCTGATCCGAGCAACAAGGCAAATATGTCCCCTATCATAATTTCATATTTATTTTATTATTCATGAGAAACTTTCATCAAGGGTTATACAGTGATCCCAAGACGTAGAGCCTTTCATTTGATATCAATTCTTTATCCATTTTCTTTTACTTTTGGACAAAGTTACAGCAATGCGTAGGAACTATTTTGTTTAACATAAGTACTACTTTCTAGTATGTTCTTTGTCACCGGGCCCGAATTATATACCTTCTGGGTGTCGGGCGAAACACAAAGGAATCAACGCACACAGTTTTGGGAAATTAGCCGGCAGCTCTACGTAAGTCTTACTAATTTGCTGGAGACAAATAGAAATAAGCAAAAAACTAAACGAAGAGGAAAATAACCAAACCAAAAAAAAAAAAAAACAAAAAAAAAAACTCTCCTTCTTTCGTGATTATATGTTTTTATATCAACAATAGTCAGACTCTTTTTGAAATGTTTTTATGACTCTAAAAAGAGCCGTTTTCAATATGCAATTGTCTTTGTTTTGCAATATTCTGTCTGGTGTAATCACTTTAACTGTTTCCTCGTCAGTGTTAACATTTTATTCTTCACTGCAGTGTAAATCGATTTCTTAGATCCTCTCCCTTTTTTTCAAAGGACGATTGGCTAATTTGATTTCCTCTTTTCATGGTCAACTAAGTGGTTTGTTTCTGAACAGTTCCGTTACATCTGGTACCATACTGACGTCAACTTCGACTTACGACATTTGTTATGCCAGTGTGACTCTGACTTCGACTGAAAACATGCAGACTTTAGCAGTTTTAATCGTTTCTGATGAAATTGTGCTGTTTCTTCGTCTGTTGCCGATATTATACTGTGATATAAAATGTACATCTACTCAGATTGACGGCATTGCACAACACCGTAACTCGACTATTTGACGAAAGCTTGCGCTAAGGAAATTCCCTCGCTTAAATTCTAAGTTTTTTGCTAAGATACTTTACTATATATAATGCTGTCATAATTAAAACTTCACCCCTTGCACGTGAAAAGTGGTGTAAAGTTGAACTGATAATCTTATAAAGTAAAAACAGCGAATTACATACCGTTCAGTTTTGTGTTGTTGGCTAGCTGTTTTATTGATGTATACTAGTACCTTGCATCTCCTTTTATTCATATTGATGTATACCTTGCATCTCCTTTTATTCATATTGATGTATACCTTGCATCTTCTTTTATTCATATTGATGTATACCTTGCATCTTCTTTTATTCACATTGATGTATACCTTGCATCTCCTTTTATTTATATTGATGTATAACTTGCATCTCCTTTTATTCATATTGATGTATACCATGCATCTCCTTTAATTCATATTGATGTATACCTTGCATCTCCTTTTATTCATATTGATGTATACCTTGCATCTCCTTTTATTCATATTCATATTTTATGTGTCAAAAAGTTGTTACCTATATTTACTAAATATTGAAAATAATTCGCATTTTTTTAGCTGATGTTTATCATTTGAAAAATATGTTTCAAGGCACCCCCCTTTTCTTAAAAAAAAATACCAAAACAATGCAAAAAGCAAAAGTAAAAGAAAAACACAAAAAAAAATTGTTTTCCATACATAATACGTAACAAAACAAGCTACATCTTTCAAAGGTAAGCATACGATGTATAGGGTTTGAAACCCTTATATAGTACACAATTTGCAAAATTTCCTCAGAGAAGGTATTGGCAAAAATCTGGATCGTTATATACGTATTATATACGTTTGTAAGGTTTTTGCCATTTTTCGTCTATTTTGAAGTTGTGGTCTGCACAGATTAAAATTGAATAGTGCCAAAAAATTTTAAACATCAACTCAATCTTGAAATGATTCTTTATCATGGCTTTTTCCTGATAACAAATACAAATTTTGCAAAATTTGATATATTTCCGTATTATTGTACCTTTTTCATGAAATAAATTTTACATATAAGTTTGCTTGGCAAGATTCGTAAACTAACCGCAGTCTAGTAGTTACTGTCTAGTTCTGTTGGGAACTTAGCCCTCGTCGGGACTGAGTGAAACCCGTATGTACGTTGAGGCGACGGGATTAAATCTTAGATGCAACTAGTCCTATATCTCTCCCAGTTACTGGTGTAAGATAAAAGGGGGATGGTAGATATATAAAAAAAAATAATATATTAACCCCGTGACATGCAGTTTCTTTAACGTGTATGTGTCCCACGTCAGGAACGTTGTCGTTGACGGTCGTATATATGTCAGATCGTAATGTCAATTCCCCATATATTTAGAGAATTGAGTGTTAAGAGCAGATCTTTGATTGTTTCTGTTGAATTTAAATATATTTTTCATGGAATCGAGACAATTAAGAGCGAGACATATTGACAATGTGTGGTGATCTGTCTATTTGTCGAAGACTATATGTCTGCATCAAGATGGTCTTTTTTGGTTCTTTCTGTCGTAGGGCTGCTGTTCCATAAAACATGGTATAACCCACACCAGTCTGATTCTCCTTCTATTTCACACTTAATTTTCCGTGTATACTGCTGGCTGAAAAAAAAAATATAAATCTGATAGCACTTTTGTGACTTATTGTTAGAACATCTGTCTGTTGTTGAAGATTACACGTCTGCTTCTAGATGTCTTTTTGGTTATTTCTGTTTTTGGGTTGCTGTCTCATTGACGTTTACCTCACATCTCCTTTCATTCAATGCAGCACTTAATTTTCCGTGTGCACTGATGGCTGAAAAAAAAATTATTATATAAATCTGATAGGCTAAGCACTGTCAGTTTTTCTTTGTATCAAGTATAGTGGATTGAGTTGATTGTTTTCTGCTTAACGTCCAGTGGCAAATGTTGCATGCATATTAAAGCCATTGTGTCAGATAATCAAATCGTGAAGATATTGCATATGTGTCTAGTCTACTTAAACATTTGCTTTTTTTGTGTATTTTCGGAGTGAAGAAAGAAAGAATTCTGCAGAACCGCAGACACGCACGTGCTTCGAATGTGTTTTCTGGAATAAAACCACTACGCAATTTTAAGCATTTACAGCTAATTTGTCTTAAGTTCAAATAAAGTGGCAGTCATTTCATAGCAAAAATATTTTATCCTGACCTGACTGTGCAGGAAAACTCAACATATCTTTAATTGCATAAAAGAGCGCACTGCATGGTTCCCGATAAACTGGTCCGCCATTCCATCTAAAGCTTCGCACAGTTAGTGTAGCGATAAGTGAACACAACAGGGGTCCAGTTTAGGTGCCCGAAAGTTGGGTAGTAAAAAAACAGGTTCTTCTGATCCGAGCAACAAGGCAAATATGTCCCCTATCATAATTATTTCATATTTATTTTATTATTCATGAGAAATTTTCATCAAGGGTTATACAGTGATCCCATGACGTAGAGCCTTTCATTTGATATCAATTTTTTATCCAATTTCTTTTACTTTTGGACAAAGTTACACTACTATGCGTAGGAACTATTTTGTTTAACATTCGTACTACTTTCTAGTATGTTCTAGCAGAGACATATATACATATATACACATGTGTAAATATGTCTCTGGTTCTAGTATGACCCTAATTATATACCTTCGGGGTGTCGGGGGAAACCAATAAGACTTATTCCTAATTTTACGGATTCAATCAATTTAAAAAATCCCCGCCAAATCATCTCCCTTTCTTTAGCTCTTCATTGCTAGCTACAGACAATAATGCATTTTGAGAAGAATGACTAATTTATTATCGTAGATCTCTTGTTATTTTTAGAACAATTTTCTGGTAACATATGCATAATTTAAGAAAAGGAACATATGATACATTGCAGTGAAATCTAGGATTGTTCAAAGTAAGTCTTTTGGGCTTGAAAGTCGGATTTTCGATTACTTTTGCTTTGCTCAGTTGTACAGTTGTACTATATATGCATGTTTGGTGCTGGAAATAATGTTACTATGATTCATATCATGACTTTAATGATGAATAATTTACTTAACTTCAACATATTTTATTCAGTATTGAACATTTTCTATTTTTCCTTATTAAACAACCACAATCTTTTCTAGTACAGGTCAGAACTACAAAAGTGTTAATCTGTTAATTAGTCCTATTTCTCTTAAAAAATTGTATGTGAAATTGTTATATCGAGAATTAAGAGTATAGATGTTAAATATATTCTAGCTGTGTTTCCAATATATATTGGATAAAGCTGTTAACTGCCATCATGGCATGACTGTCCTCTAATTAGAATACATCATTCTTTGCAACAACATAATTGGACATACATGCACATCATAACATTACGATACATGAAGTGGCAGAATAATCAAGAATGATGTTGGCCACCAAACGACAGAAGCAGAAGCATGTAAAGCAGGGTCCAATATTGTCCCCTATTAATATACATTACAGCATGTACAGTATACTTGAGAAATTTGTAGTTCATAAAATTTGTATCTGACTCTGTCATTTGATTTTTTGTTACATTTTGAAGAATTTAGACAGGATGTCAGTAAAATGAAATATGCAATGTACATGTACTACCCAGGACCTAAGACCATAGTGCTTTCTGAATAGATTTGATAATGGAATGTATTTATTATACTGTGGAAAACATTGTAAAGTGCACTTGTATACACATGATGCATGTTGATCTTCACTATCTTTCAAAGTAAGTTTATGAATGAAAAAAGATGTTCCATCTACATGTATGTTTTTGTGTTCAAAATTTTTAGGGGTCCATGGTGGCCAAGTGGTTGAAGTACTGTGGATTTATTATTGTTCGTTGGATACCAATTTTCATGGATTTCGTGGGTACAGGGTCAGAGGTGGATTTAGGGTGTGTGTGGGCAGGGGGCCTGAGGGCCCATCTTATGGAGCTACATACATGTACATGTATATGGATAATACATAGACTTTTTTCATGTCCAAATCCAATCGTTGCCTAGTTTGGAGGACCCCCCTCCCCCACTTCACCCTTTTTTCAAATTCACTTTAAAAATTCAACCATGCTTTTTTCATGTTTGTCCCCCTCCCCCTGATGAAAACCTACAGATGGCATCGCCCATATATTAATATTTTCATGCAGTGTAACATTGCATAGTTGGGATGTTATCATTTGAATTTTTGTGTGTAAAAGGAAAAGGAAATTGGACATAGTAAAACCGACTATCTTGGAATTAAGATAAGAATTTAGGCTTGGTGCATATTTTTGTCAATTAATGTTTTAGTTTAGAAATTTGCAACAAAAAATAGAAAAGAGTGTCTCAGTGTTTTTAAAATTTTCTCATTTTTTGTAATATTTGCACCTGGCAGGATAAATGATGAAAGGGATTTGATTTTGAACAGCAACAAGTCTCAAATGATGTTCAGTTTTTATAGGCCTGTAAAAATTTTGACGAGACGTATTATGGTATACAAATGTCCGGCGTCCGTCTGTCCGGCATAAACATGTCGCACCGTTACTTCAGAACAACTTATCCAAATTTCATGAAACTTAACATACCGGTAGTTGTTTCTTATGATGGTCAAACAATCTGTATACTTTTTGGTGAAAATAAGATTTAAACTTTTTGAGTTACAGGACTTTGAAACTAAAACAGGGGTGTGTTTTTTTCACATGTCTCGCCGTATCTCAAAAACGATTTATGATTATTGCTTAAAACTTTACACACTTCTTAGTTATATTAATCTAAAGATCTGTATACTTTTTGGTGATGATTCAAAATTTTATTTGAGAGTTATTTTGTAATAAAGGGGGGGGGGGGGGGGTTGCACATGTCGCGTCGTATACTTTTTCGTGATGATTATTTTATTTTTGAGTTATCGATTTTTTATTGAGCTTTTTGGTAAAAAAGGTACACTTTTTGTTTGGTAAAAAAGGTAGTCTTTTTTGGTCACATTTCGCGCCGTATCTCTATTGCTTAAAAGTTTACACGCTTATGTTTCGACGGGTTTCCATATACATCCCACCAACAGCTCCACTAAATAAAGCGGGATTTCAGAGGAATGAGTCAGGATATACTTAGCATGACTTCCTTTACAGCCCCCGTGTTATTCCAAAAACATTTATTATGTTTTTTTCACAAGACAACAGGCGTATCATGCGCTCGTGGCGCAGCTGATTAATAATACATGTATCTACATGTATGTGATCATGTAAGGATATCACCTGTGTTGGAAGATCCAATTGACTATAAATGTAAAAGTCTCTAAGAGTGCTAAATGCATTATTTGGCCCTTGATTGTTTACTTTTATCCATGTAAAATCCTTATCTCCAAGCTTTTTATACGACTGCAAAAAATTTTGAGGTTGTATAACTATATTGGTATCACGTCGTCGTTGTCAGCGTCGTCCAAAGAAATTTGGTTTCAAAAAGTTCAATACCACAAAAGGAAGGTTTGTTTGTTTTTGAGGGTGATGGTCCCAACCGTTTAGGACAATAATTGTGTATAAGTATTTTGATTGCTCTGAAATTGTACCACAAGGTTCAATACCACAAGTAGAAGGTGGGGATTCATTATGGGGGTAATTGCCCAAACCGTTCAGGAATTAGGGGCCAAAAATGGTCTAAAACAAGCATTTTTCTAGTTTTCAGACAATTTATTATTATTATTAACTTGTGTTTAAGTGTATGAATGTCTCTTAATTTGTACCACATTTTACAAAAAGAACATTTCTTCAAAATTAATTTTTTTGGAAGGGGGGGGGGGGGGGGTAACAAAAAATTTTTTTTTGTGGGGGGGGGATTTTTTTCCCAAAAGAAAATTCTCTTCAAATATTATTTTTGTTGGAGGAGGGTAAAAAAAATTTTTTTTTGGGGGGAGGGGGGGGTCAATTTTTTTCCCCTCAAGATTTAAGAAATTGTCAACAGCAACAGCACAGTGTATTGCACAACAGCAAGAAATCTTCAATTGAATATAAATTCAAATCATACAACCATTTCAAGTTTATTAAAAGGTTCTTTATGGTGCTGGAATCTTGAGATGAAGCTACAGATCCAGAAATCAACCACTGTCATGACTTTGCATTTTCCTGAAAAAAAATGTTTTGTACAATAAATTGTGAAAACTCTTCTTATATATCTTTTCCTGATTACTTTTCTAGAGGTGCACATCCTTACAAAAAGTTTAGAGTGTTGAATAGAAATAGCTGAAATGAAATTTCATATTCTGTAAATGGAGTGCATGTCCTTGCATCTACATAATGTTAAACATGTTAAAGTTTAGAAAGAACAAAGAACATTGGCAATCATACCACACCTTCTTATTTTTATAAAGTAGTCCACTTTGGTCTGCCTTCCACTAGAAGTAAGTACCAAATGTAATTCAGACTTGGCAGACTTGCGTTTTATATATTTGATTCAAACTATTGTGTAGAAATTCTATTAGGGAATTCGAGGTGTTATAGTTTTTCATAACGGTAATTCTTTATATTAAATAATTCTTACAGTAAGTCTGAAATATAGTTTTTCTACATAGTGACCTACACTATCAATTTAACTCAATGTTTTGTTTATATAGCTTGCTTTTTAAAAATTTCAAGGTCAACAAATTATCTGTATTTTCTTTGTACTAATAACATGGCTAAAACTAGAAAATTATTACCCTTTCATTAAAAAAACAAATAATAATATTTAAAAAATGTGATATATATATAATTGCTAAAAAAGATATGCACAAACATGGTGTAGATAACAGAACTTTAAAGGTTTTTTTGTGTTTGCAGTTATATTTTTGTATTGTATAGTTTCTTTTACTTTCTTTAGCATTTGTAAGAGAAATTTGCCTTTAAGTACAAAAAAAAAAACAGCTGACCAGTTTTTTAATACCAGTAACCCTCTTTGAATATAAACATAGGATATAACTAGGCCAGTCAGAGTTTAATTTTCAGTGGTTTATTCAAAGATTTGCTACATATATATATATATATATAGCCTAGTTTTAATGGTAGTGTTCACGATAACAATGACAGAATGCAGGAAATTTACACTTATTTTGAAATCTGTTTAGAAGTGGATCCTACTTTCTACAAGTGTGGTTCACTTAATTGTCACGAAAGTCTGACGATTTAACTGATTGTAAGATGTATATATATATCTGAAGGCAAAGTATATTTTTTTCTGTACTTGCTATTCAATGAGAGTAAAAACTTTATAGTTGGAAATTTTAGAGATGCTATGCATTAAATACTTACGTGGCATTTGTTAGCTAAAAACATTTGAAGGGGCCTGACATTTGTTAACATGCACTTGTCTGGAATGCTCCAAGACAATTCACATCTGTTCTTGATAAATTAAAAGAAAGATTTATGTGCTTTATCAAGATTAATGAATAATACATTCTGATAGATATGTACAGTTTTTAGGCAAAATACATTGTTGATAAAAGTTTTATCAGTAGCAGAGATAATTCTATTGCAAAACAATTCTAAAATTGGCTCCAGTTCATGCTGATAGTGATGATAGTTAGATAGTTAAAAGATAATATGTGAACATGTTGCCACTTAATTTGTGGTTAATTGCCAGCTACTAAAAGGGCTTTTTATCTATAAGATCAAGTAAAATTAATTGAAACTGAAATTAAAAAAATTAACACCCTGTACAGGAACAAACGTATATATTAATTCTATTTGTATATGATGTAATTGAAAAATTTTTAATGGGAAAGATGCACAGAGTGTTCTTAGATTCTCTAAGATTTGTTGAAATTATATTTATGTTAATTTTTTGACAATGTTTTAAAACCTTGAAAAATAATTGCAAAATTTGTCTTTTACAAAATAGGAAGAGTGGCTCCATCTTTTTAAATATGAAGAGCATCTCTTTAAGTATCAGGGATATGTAATTTGATACTGTCAAATAAACTTCTAGTTTAAATTCTCCCTGACCATGCAAACAATGTTTAATAACAAAATCGATATATTATAACAATATTCAAATTTTTTACAAACAAAATTATCCAATACATTTGAATGGACTGAAATTATACTTAATATTATAACCATTCATTAATATGAGACAATAACTGCAAACTAACTGTCGTAGTTACTGTGAGCACCTTTCGATGAAGTGACACCCCAAAAATGTATTTATATAATCTAACAGAACCCCACCTTTTAAACCGCCGAAGTATTTCACTTGCATACATGTATATTACCCATATATATTTATATCACAAAACAAGTTATACAACTACATAACTATAACACAGGGAAAAACCCCATGCCTCAACGAAAAGAAATTTAAATAAATAAGAATAGAAGTCATTAGAGTCTGTTATTATGTATAAAGGGGAATAACTCTAAAAATCTACATGTTCATATCATACATGTTATTTTTAACCCTCTTTGTGTTAGTTTATAGAATAACATTAAAAATGTAAGTCTTTCCCCCTTATTAACTTTTGTTTATGTTAATCAGCAGCTTTTGTTTTTCTTGTGGAACTAATAACTTCAGATTATAATTCAATTAAAAATTCATTCCGCTTTGTTGGAATTTAGTCATGTTAGCTGACTCGCATCATGTTGTAAAAATTATTATTCATGTCCATGTAAAAAATCAGAGTTAGAATAATAATTACTCCCATTACCGTCATAGATTATTATCATTTTCTGACATTTGTTTAAACATGACATATCCATTGACATAATTTTTACTAATACAAATTTTTGAAATGCAAATTTTATGGCAGCTATTAATACGGGAAGCTTCATTGAATTAGTCTTCTTTTTACTTTCAGTAATTAAATCCCTATTCTAGAGTGGATGCTATATGGTAATCCCTTTTTTTGTCACATTTTTCTCAGTAACAACTAAACAGAATGACTTCATATTTAGTCAGCACTTTTTGAATTTATCAAATGCCTACTTCGTCCTTCGTATCCTTTGTGATTCTTTAAATTACAAGATGGGGTATGCTTAGCATGACATCACATGCAACTTTTAAAATGATTCACATTAGTATCTTGCTGGAAAATATATAAGTCTTTTGTTTCCAATTACAAACTTTTTAGTTCTGGATTTGTCTAATTTACATGTAGATCTGTTGATTTTAATTTGGTTGTTGTGAGGATGACTGAGCTTCTGAAAAAATCACATCTGTTGGGTATTTGCGACCTGACCTATATTTCGAAAAACTATTAGGAAAAAAATGTCCAGTATCAGAAATAAATCAACAGGTTCAGTACTTGACATTTAAGGAATGTAAATACATGTACCAATACAAATAGTTCATTTACTTGAAGATATTGCAATGTTTTCAATAATTGAGAGCAACTGGCAAAATCTGCTGCCAACAGCCTATATTTTCCAGTCTCAGCAGATCTCAAATTTTCATCCAAGAAGGAAAAAATTAGATCATTACAAATTAGTTGATTCATCAGTGTGAAAATTTGTGCAAATTTTATTTCAGATTTAAGAAACCATGAGAGAACCTCTGTTATAGGATGAGGATCTCAGATCTGATGAAGACATGGACAGGAAGACTTCTAAATCATCTACAAAGTCACAACAGTCCAGATATTATAACATGACCTATCAGAGTAACTGTAAGTCTAATCCACAAGGTCACAACAGTCCCTGTATTATAACATGACATATCAGAGTAACTGTAAGTCTAATCCACAGGGTCACAACAGTCCCTGTATTATAACATGACATATCAGAGTAACTGTAAGTGTAATCCACAGGGTCACAACAGTCCCTGTACTATAACATGACATATCAGAGAAACTGTAAGTCTAATCCACAGGGTAACAACAGTCCCTGTATTATAACATGACATATCAAAGTAACTGTAAGTGTAATCCAAAGGTCACAACAGTCCCTGTATTATAACATGCCATACGGTATCAGATCAACTGTAAGACTAATCCACATGGTCACAACAGTCCCTGTATTATAACATGACATATCAAAGTAACTAAGTGTAATCCCGAGGTCACAACAGTCTTGTTATTATAACATGACCCATCAGAGGAACTTCAAGTCTTATCAACAGGGTCACAGCAGTCCGGTATTATAACATGACCTATCAGAGGAACTGTAAGTCTAGTCCACAGGGTCACAACAGTTCTGATATTATAACATGACCAATCAGAGTAATTTTAGTCTAATCCACATGGTCACAACAATCCCGATATTATAACATGACTTATCAGATTAACTTAGCCTAATCCACATGGTCACAACAGTCCCGGTATTATAACATGACATATCAGACATGTCAGAGTAACTGTAAGTCTGATCCACAGGGTCACAACAGTCCTGTTATTATGACATGACCTATCAGATTAACTTAGTCTAATCCACAGAGTCACAACAGTCCCTGTATTATAACATGACCTATCAGATTAACTTAGTCTAATCCACAGGGTCACAACAGTCCCTGTATTATAACATGACCTATCAGATTAACTTAGTCTAATCCACAGGGTCACAACAGTCCCTGTATTATAACATGACCTATCAGATTAACTTAGTCTAATCCACAGGGTCACAACAGTCCCTGTATTATAACATGACCTATCAGAGTATTTTAGTCTAATCCACAGGGTCACAACAGTCCCTGTATTATAACATGACCTTACAGATTAACTTAGTCTAATCCACATGGTCACAACAGTCCCAGTATTATAACATGACCTATCAGATTAACTTAGTCTAATCCTCATGATCACAACAGTCTTGTTATTATAACATGACCTATCAGATTAACTAAGTCTAATCCACAGGGTCACAACAGTCCTGATATTATAACATGACCTATCAGATTAACTTAGTCTAATCCTCAGGGTCACAACAGTCCCGGTATTATAACATGACCTATCAGTGTAACTGTAAGTTTAATCCACAGGGTCACAGCAGTCCCGGTATTATAACATGACATATCAGAGAAACTGTAAGTCTAATCCACAGGGTCACAACAGTCCCTGTATTATAAAATGACCTATCAGAGAAACTGTAAGTCTAATCCACAGGGTCACAACAGTCCCTGTATTATAAAATGACCTATCAGAGAAACTGTAAGTCTAATCAACAGGGTCACAACAGTCCTGGTATTATAACATGACATATCAAAGAAACTGTAAGTCTAATCCACAGGGTCACAACAGTCCCTGTATTATAACATGACCTATCAGATTAACTTAGTCTAATCCACAGGGTCACAACAGTCCCGGTACTATAACATGACATATCAAAGAAACTGTAAGTCTAATCCACAGGGTCACAACAGTCCCTTTATTATTACATGACCTATCAGATTATATTAACTTTGTCTAATCCACAGGGTCACAACAGTCCCGGTACTATAACATGACCTATCAGATTAACTTAGTCTAATCCACATGGTCACAGCAGTCCCTGTATTATAACATGACCTATCAGAGTATTTTAGTCTAATCCACAGGGTCACAACAGTCCTGTTATTATAACATGACCTATCAGAGTAATTTAGTCTTATCCACATGGTCACAACAGTCCCTGTATTATAACATGACCTATCAGATTAACTTAGTCTAATCCACATGGTCACAACAGTCCTGGTATTATAACATGACCTATCAGAGTAACTTAGTCTAATCCTCATGATCACAACAGTCTTGTTATTATAACATGACCTATCAGATTAACTTAGTCTAATCCAGAGGGTCACAACAGTCCTGATATTATAAAGTGACCTATCAGATTAACTTAGTCTAATCCTCAGGGTCACAACAGTCCCGGTATTATAACATGACCTATCAGTGTAACTGTAAGTCTAATCCACAGGGTCACAGCAGTCCCGGTATTATAACATGACATATCAGAGAAACTGTAAGTCTAATCCACAGGGTCACAACAGTCCCTGTATTATAAAATGACCTATCAGAGAAATTGTAAGTCTTATCCACAGGGTCACAACAGTCCTGGTATTATAACATGACATATCAGAGGAACTGTAAGTCTAGTCCACAGGGTCACAACAGTTCTGATATTATAACATGACCAATCAGAGTAATTTTAGTCTAATCCACATGGTCACAACAATCCCGATATTATAACATGACTTATCAGATTAACTTAGCCTAATCCACATGGTCACAACAGTCCCGGTATTATAACATGACATATCAGACATGTCAGAGTAACTGTAAGTCTGATCCACAGGGTCACAACAGTCCTGTTATTATGACATGACCTATCAGATTAACTTAGTCTAATCCACAGAGTCACAACAGTCCCTGTATTATAACATGACCTATCAGATTAACTTAGTCTAATCCACAGGGTCACAACAGTCCCTGTATTATAACATGACCTATCAGATTAACTTAGTCTAATCCACAGGGTCACAACAGTCCCGGTATTATAACATGACCTATCAGATTAACTTAGTCTAATCCACAGGGTCACAACAGTCCCTGTATTATAACATGACCTATCAGAGTAACTTAGTCTAATCCTCATGATCACAACAGTCTTGTTATTATAACATGACCTATCAGATTAACATAGTCTAATCCACAGGGTCACAACAGTCCTGATATTATAAAGTGACAGATCAGATTAACTTAGTCTAATCCTCAGGGTCACAACAGTCCCGGTATTATAACATGACCTATCAGTGTAACTGTAAGTCTAATCCACAGGGTCACAGCAGTCCCGGTATTATAACATGACATATCAGAGAAACTGTAAGTCTAATCCACAGGGTCACAACAGTCCCTGTATTATAAAATGACCTATCAGAGAAATTGTAAGTCTTATCCACAGGGTCACAACAGTCCTGGTATTATAACATGACATATCAGAGGAACTGTAAGTCTAGTCCACAGGGTCACAACAGTTCTGATATTATAACATGACCAATCAGAGTAATTTTAGTCTAATCCACATGGTCACAACAATCCCGATATTATAACATGACATATCAGACATGTCAGAGTAACTGTAAGTCTGATCCACAGAGTCACAACAGTCCCTGTATTATAACATGACCTATCAGATTAACTTAGTCTAATCCACAGGGTCACAACAGTCCCTGTATTATAACATGACCTATCAGATTAACTTAGTCTAATCCACAGGGTCACAACAGTCCCGGTATTATAACATGACCTATCAGATTAACTTAGTCTAATCCACAGGGTCACAACAGTCCCTGTATTATAACATGACCTATCAGATTAACTTAGTCTAATCCACATGGTCACAACAGTCCCAGTATTATAACATGACCTATCAGATTAACTTAGTCTAATCCTCATGATCACAACAGTCTTGTTATTATAACATGACCTATCAGATTAACTAAGTCTAATCCACAGGGTCACAACAGTCCTTATATTATAACATGACATATCAGATTAACTTAGTCTAATCCTCAGGGTCACAACAGTCCCGGTATTATAACATGACCTATCAGTGTAACTGTAAGTCTAATCCACAGGGTCACAGCAGTCCCGGTATTATAACATGACATATCAGAGAAACTGTAAGTCTAATCCACAGGGTCACAACAGTCCCTGTATTATAAAATGACCTATCAGAGAAACTGTAAGTCTAATCAACAGGGTCACAACAGTCCTGGTATTATAACATGACATATCAAAGAAACTGTAAGTCTAATCCACAGGGTCACAACAGTCCCTGTATTATAACATGACCTATCAGATTAACTTAGTCTAATCCACAGGGTCACAACAGTCCCGGTACTATAACATGACCTATCAGATTAACTTAGTCTAATCCACAGGGTCACAGCAGTCCCTGTATTATAACATGACCTATGAGAATATTTTAGTCTAATCCACATGGTCACAACAGTCCTATTATTATAACATGACCTATCAGAGTATTTTAGTCTTATCCACATGGTCACAACAGTCCCTGTATCAGAACATGACCTATCAGATTTACTTAGTCTAATCCACATGGTCACAACAGTCCCGGTATTATAACATGACCTATCAGAGTAACTTAGTCTAATCCTCATGATCACAACAGTCTTGTTATTATAACATGACCTATCAGATTAACTTAGTCTAATCCACAGGGTCACAACAGTCCTGATATTATAACATGACCGATCAGATTAACTTAGTCTAATCCTCAGGGTCACAACAGTCCCGGTATTATAACATGACCTATCAGTGTAACTGTAAGTCTAATCCACAGGGTCACAGCAGTCCCGGTATTATAACATGACATATCAGAGAAACTGTAAGTCTAATCCACAGGGTCACAACAGTCCCTGTATTATAAAATGACCTATCAGAGAAACTGTAAGTCTAATCCACAGGGTCACAACAGTCCTGGTATTATAACATGACATATCAGAGTAACTAAGTCTAATCCACAGGGTCACAACAGTCCTGGTATTATAACATGACCTATCAGAGTAACTGTAAGTGTAATCCACAGGGTCACAACAGTCCCTTTATTATTACATGACCTATCAGATTATATTAACTTCGTCTAATCCACAGGGTCACAACAGTCCCGGTACTATAACATGACCTATCAGATTAACTTAGTCTAATCCACATGGTCACAGCAGTCCCTGTATTATAACATGACCTATCAGAGTATTTTAGTCTAATCCACATGGTCACAACAGTCCTGTTATTATAACATGACCTATCAGAGTAACTGTAAGTCTTATCCACATGGTCACAACAGTCCCTGTATTATAACATGACCTATCAGATTGATTTAGTCTAATCCACATGGTCACAACAATCCCGGTATTATAACATGACCTATCAGAGTAACTTAGTCTAATCCTCATGATCACAACAGTCTTGTTATTATAACATGACCTATCAGATTAACTTAGTCTAATCCTCAGGGTCACAACAGTCCCGGTATTATAACATGACCTATCAGAATAACTGTAAGTCTAATCCACAGGGTCACAGCAGTCCCGGTATTATAACATGACATATCAGAGAAACTGTAAGTCTAATCCACAGGGTCACAACAGTCCCTGTATTATAAAATGACCTATCAGAGAAACTGTAAGTCTAATGCACAGGGTAACAACAGTCCCTGTATTATAACATGACCTATCAGAGAAACTGTAAGTCTAATCCACAGGGTAACAACAGTCCCTGTATTATAACATGACCTATCAGAGAAACTGTAAGTCTAATCCACAGGGTCACAACAGTCCTTGTATTATAACATGACCTATCAGAGTAACTTTAAGTGTAATCCACAGGGTCACAACAGTCCCTTTATTATTACATGACCTATCACAGTAACTGTAAGTCTAATTCACAATGATATTTTGGTCCTTATATTATAAAAAAAATTGAAAGGATATAAAAAGGGGGGTACAAAATCTCAAGTCAACAGTCAAATAAAAAAGCAATATCAAAATCCTAAAACTTAACAGAAAACTAAACATTTGGCAACACTAGCCTGAATTACCTCATAAAAGGATCAAATGAGACAATGCAGAAGTGTTTAACAGTCAACTTTAACTTGATTTACCAGAGTTATAATTAGTCTGATCCACAATGTCATAACAGTCCCAATGTTATTAATAGATCTACCATTATTTATGTATGTGAAATAGTACACAAATGTGAAAATGTGTTTATAATGGGTAACTTACATTTCAATAAATTGAGTTATCTTCCTTACACCATAAAAAACTAAAAACTTATGTTTATTATAAGAATTCACTTATATAACATGACCATCTATAGTTATTTCAAGCTGTTACTAGATAGAGACTTTGAATCCATATTTTCTTTTCTATGAAAGAGAGTCTGCAATAAGCTTTTAGAAAGCATTGAGAAAAAAGCTTACTTCTATATGAAGAATTTGAAGAATTATTTTTTTCTTACAAATGTACTACATGTATATTTTCCGAGCTAAAATTTTTGTGTAAAGTATGTTAAATTAGATAATGAAGTGTATAAATAATTATAGGAAGAAACATGTATTGCCTAAGCAGGTAAGTAAAGAACAGAAAAAAGAAAAGAACAGTGCAATGTCATTATAATAGGCCTTTTTAACATAATGCAAATATTTGTAGGACATAACTGATGTATATAACTTTCAATAGTATAAAAATAGCATGAGTTTTATACATACATGTCTTACTCTGTAATAATAAATGGTCTATATCTTATCAGAAATATATTACCAGTAATTAAAATATTATCGGATTATTCAATTCATGTTGTATGGGAAAGGATTTGAATAGGCTTTGCTTTATTTAAATGTACGCTGATCATGATTTTTGAACAATAAAATACTTTAGATTGAATTTCGCACTGTAATAAAGAAAGAAAAGGTTGGCTCTCTTCAAAACCATTTAATTCACCTTGTATAAATATAAAAATTTGACTCAATTACACATGTGACCATTTGAGAAATTTAAATTGTTCAGGGTACCCCAAAACAAGACATGGATGAAGAAAGGCTTCTAAAATAAAAGTTTTACCACGTGCTTTTTGTCCTCTTAAACCAGCTTTGACCAGGATAAAATGTACAGGTATAAAGTAAACATATTACCTGTCCTTTTTGTTTGTAATCAATATATCAGGTGAGCAGAAATGATATTCAGTAATAAAAGTAATCCATCACTTCCCTATTTTGTACAAAACAAACAAATACACCATTGTTTCTATCCTTTAAGGCCCAGTTTATACTTAACTCAAGGAAGTCAACAACATTGGAGGCCAGTTATGGGAAAGTTAGTACATTTAAAAACAAAAGTTTCTGAAAAAAAATGATCGTTTAGTACTATCATGATCTTTAAGGACAAAAATATTCCTGTCCTATCAGTTTTAATTTTTGGTTTAAAAATGATGACAAAGGCTATGATTTGTGATTAGTTCTAAATATAGACATGTTTCTACACTTATACAAATGAATCATCATCACCATTAATCTGTTAATAAAGATAATATATAACATATAACATCTGATGAACATGTCTTGTTAAATGCCTTTAAGCTTTTGATATTTACTCATTACCTGAGGGTTGTATGACATACAATGATTGAACATTACCTTAACTAATACTAAACTCACTATTCTGTAATTAAAATCACCACATATGAAATAATTGATACAATTAAAGGATGTGAAAATGATCTGATTAATTGTTCCGTTAACTTGACCTGGTTGTAGATGTATTTCAGGATTATTGTTTGTTGGAATGTGGAATAAATAAGGCATTTTTTGTGTAAATTCATCAACAGTTTTATAAATGGGTAAAGTATGTGCATAATAGGAATTTAAAGGGTTACATTTATACCTGGATGGACATCTTTTGTGTTCTGTTTTTCTTTTTACATTAACAAATACATAGCCAAGGAAGTGAATGTACACAAAGCCTTTAAGACTATTTCTAAATTCAATAACCCTTCTTAAAAGTAAATGATATTAAGTTAAAATTCAAGTCATAAGGAAATAGAAATATTACCTGTTGTGATCCATGAAACTTTTGTCTGTACATGGACCGGATAGGGTTTTTGTTGTTGATAGTTATTTCTGCCTGTAAAGGATGTGATTGTGGTCACATTTTATGCGTTGACAAATATTTATTTAGCGATAACTGTGTGCATACATACAGAGATAAAATTATAACTTGAATGTTTTTTTGAGTTTAAGGATTATTCATACTTGTGGTTTTGAATGTCATTAAGATCAAGATTATTGAAGTTGATAAATCTATTGTGAACCAGGAAGTGAATGAGATGACAGTATCATATGATTAAAAAACAAAGATACTTTGCACTGGTTTCGCCATTGATAACAAAATATTTGGATTTTATTTTGCATAAGGTGTTCTTTGTTGTGGAAAGAAGAAATTACAAGTAATATTTAATTTAATCCGCATACTTCTTTTTACAATTATACATCGTTCTTCAGACAATGAAAATGATGATCTTTGCATTTGTCTCTACAAATGATCAATGGATTAAATTTAGTGTACAGGAATAAGAATAGAACTAAAGACAGACAATGTTTCGTATAGTTGAAGATTCTCCTAGGACTGGGGGAGTTACTTTAAGGGAAACTAAACATGATTATTTTACTGTCCTTGCAGATGGAGGAGAAAGTCAACCCTTACCTACTTGGAAAACATATTGTAAGTATTTATAAGGGGTTAATAGACAATAAGAGTCTAAAAATCAACCGTCCACCATTGACTATAGGACAAGGATGTAAACAATTACAGGTCATTGTATGGCCTTCGACAATAAGCAAAAAACCATACTGAAAGTAAGCTATAAAAGGCAACAGGATACAAATTAAAAGAGAAAAACAATGGCCTGATGTATCCTACAACATTAAATGCAATTATGTAGACAGCAATTAATGACGACCACTGGATTACATATTTCTGGCTTGAAATAGGCACATACAGAATGTTAAACAATTTTATTTGATGGATCACACATAAATCCATATGCTTTAACTTGCATGGTTTTGCAAAAACTCATCAGTAGTTTCCAAATGAAAGGTAAACATAACAATTATACTTGAAGCACTTTTCTGAATTTACCTTGACAATTGCACACATGGAGCTTTAAGTTTTTAAAGTAAAAGATTACATTAAGAGTTATACAATTAAAGACCTAAAAAGTTAAATCTGAATTGTCTAAGGCCCAAAGGTGAATGGTTTGCAGAATTTTAAGTTTCATAACATAAATTTCAGTGTCCAATATCTTATAAACTTAATTATATACTGTAGTTAAATATTTGCATGTATTTATTATTGCGATTGTTGATCAAAGGATACAATTACCAAATTTATTGTTGTGATTTAAAAAAGTGTTGGTTACATATAATTCTATCAAAATATTAAAAAGATCAAGTTTTTAGTTTTTTAACACCTTTCCTGTCGCAATTTTCACAATGATAAAAGCATCACAAAATTTCTGAATTTTCATTAGCCTTGTTTAAAACTTAGAGGCCTTTATCAATTCAGTCTTTTTCTTATACAAATAAATTATGCAGCAGACATAAACTTCAACGGAAATTCTTACTGAATGTTTTATCTGAGATCTTTAGTTATCTCTTAACATACATTAGCATTTTAAGTGTCAACCATTTAAAAATAATTCAGTTGTTACGTTTATAATATATTAACATATATATATACATCATTGTACATGAAGAGGAAATTGTGAAATTTTGGGGTTGTAAATAAAAATATGTGTGTTTAATCTTTGTTAAAGTTATGTTTCATCAAATCTTAATACACAATATATATGTACCGGTAGCTGCAGTGTTGGCAAATATTAGAAACAATAACCAACCTCACAACAATGCATTTAATATACTGAAAGTCAACATATTTTTGCAGATACTTTATTTTACATTTAGCCCTTTCTAGCTGTTTTTGAAGCAATTTAATTTAAAGATTTTTTAATTTATTTGATGTATTTATATAAGGGAAGATCCAACTTTCAAATGACTTTTACATATTTGCGACAATTTGTATTCACATTATTTTTCTACTCTCAAGAGTTGCAAAAGAAATCGCTCGTGACAACTAGTTTGTGCATGCAAGAACCGTCTCATATATCATATAAATAACAGCATGTGATTTTTTTTTCGAAATTGGTTTCCATTCTCTAACTTTAGTTTGCCTCAACCAGATGTTATGAAACTTATACACAATGCTTATTACCAGCCAACACAGATCATGTTCAAAGTTTGGTGGCGTCAGTTTCATCGTTCTTGAGTTATTTCCAATTACTAATGGAAAAATTGCTGTATTTGCAGTTTCTGCAGTTTCTGCACTCTAACATTACTTTGCAACAACTAAATGTTATGAAACTTTTACACAATGCTTATTTCCATCCATCACAAATCAGGTTGAATTTGGGTGGCGTCCCTTTCACTGTTATCCCATTACTGTTTGTTATTGGACAATGAGAGCACTCAAATCCCTGAGCAATCTCTAATGACAACATACAGAAACAAATGTCATTAAGTTTAAGAAAACAAACATGATTAGGTTTGAATTAGTACATTGACTCTTGCACATTTACACACTGGACATCTGTGTCATATGGACACATTATTCTTTTATGTAATTGATTATTTCAGTATACACACTACAGCTACAAGCCCCTAAACCAAAGGTTATACCATGCCAAAGGGAGGTAAGCTGTTTTTGGTTTATATTACAAATATGTTCATCTTTTGTTTAACAAATATAAATTTTAGTTTAAAGTATGTAATTGCGAGGCCAAATATCATAAATTTAAAGGAACGTTTTATAAAGGTTCTTGATATTCTGCTGATTGAGTGGTATACATGGTGGCTATAATGTTACAGTGGTACCCACATAACCTAGTTGGAAATCACATTGTAACATTCTCTGCCAATTAAGTACATAGCTAATCCAAACCATATTTATGAAGAATAATAAATGAAAAAAAAGGTGTAAGATACCTAGGGGAGAATCAAAACTCATAAGTCAAAGCAAGATTTACAAAATCATAGCAAAAAAAGGAAAAAGGACTCCCAACAGACAAATCATGGCAACAAAAACGAAAAAGGACTCCAACAGACAAATCATGGCAACAAAAACGAAAAAGGACTCCCAACAGACAAATCATGGCAACAAAAACGAAAAAGGACTCCAACAGACAAATCATGGCAACAAAAACGAAGGACTCCAACAGACAAATCATGGCAACAAAAACGAAAAAGGACTCCAACAGACAAATCATGGCAACAAAAAGGAAGAAGGACTCCAACAGACAAATCATGGCAACAAAAACGAAGAAGGACTCCAACAGACAAATCATGGCAACAAAAACGAAAAAGGACTCCAACAGACAAATCATGGCAAGAAAAAGGAAGAAGGACTCCAACAGACAAATCATGGCAACAAAAACGAAAAGAAAAACAACAAAAAGACAAACAACAGTCTACAAAACACTTCGTAAAAAAACTAAAGACGGAACATCATAGATCTCAGCAAAAACTGGGGGTGATACCTGGTGCTTAGGAAGGGTATCGTTAAGTTTATTATGCTCCACCTGTTAGGTTGCCAATGTTAAGTTCAATTTTGATGTTAATTCTCATTGGGTGAAATGATAATATTGGACAAGAGGATAGGAGAATTGCTTTGAAAATTGTAGCATATCTGTGATCATATCCATTAAATATTTATTTTTGACAATTACAGGTACCAACCAGACCACCATTTTACCAAAAAGAGTAAGTATAGATTTCAGGAAATGCTGCATACAAACAAGGATTTGTATAGTAAGTCTTACTATTCAAATCCTTGATACAAATATGCTATCAAAATTTAAATGTGAGTGTTTATTTTTGCGAAAAAACTATCCCATCGCAATTTTCGCAGTAGTAAAATGGTTGAAACATTTCTGAATTTACAGTATACAATAGAATTAAAAAATCATATATATATATATGATATTTGTCTCGCCTTGACGGAGTCAAAAAGCGAGACATAGGTATGCTGTTTCCGGCGTCGGCAATGGCAGTGACGGCGTCAACAATGTATTAGTTTGTGATTAGGTCTAGTTCATGGGGAACAACTAGTGGTAGGTCAATGATATTTGGTATGCAGTTGTATAAGCATGGGCATATCTCATTTCCATGGAGATTATTTGGCTCCGCCCCCTTAGTCATGGTCTATAGACTTTGAAAATTTTGCTAAGTTTACATGTATTAGTTTGTGATTAGGTCAGTTCAAGGGGAACCATTAGTGGTAGGCCAATGTTAATTGGTGTTCAGTTGTATAAGCATTAGCACATCTCATTTCCATGGAGAATATTTGGCCCGCCCCCTCAGTCATGGTCTATTTACTTTGAAACTTTTGCTTAGTTTACATGTATTAGTTTGCGATTAGATCAGTTTAAGATGAACTGCTAATGTTAAGTCATTGATATTTGGTATGCAAATTTATTGGCATTTGCAAGTATCGTTTCCATGGAGATTATATAGCCCCACCCCTGATCATGGTTCATTGACTTTGAAACTTTTACATAGTTTACAAGTTAATGTTTGTGTTTATGTTTGTTTAAAGAGAACAACATATAAAAAGTCAATGGTATTTGGTATACAGTTGTATTAGCATTGGCACATCTCATTCCATGGAGATTGTTTAGCCATGTACCTTCAGTCATGGTTCATTGACTTTGAATATTTGCATAACTAACATGTTAAAGTATTGCAATTTTAATTTCAACATTTGCATTATCAAAATTACAAAAAGGCAAGACATATCTCTGTGATAACAGTTTATTTAAAACACTCTTCCCGAAGCATTCCGTACAGCCAAGCTATCAGGTTAAAGCGGATTTGCTCATCGGAATCAAAATTAAACCACCGTTTGGGACAACTCAGACAGCAACTTAAATCAAGATGTTATAAGGACAAAAACATTTCAGAAGCTTTCGGTAAAGCATAAGAAAAAGACCGAACAAACCTACTTGAATACAAAGAAAAGACGACCCAAACAAATAAAATTCCATTTGTTGTCAGCTTTCATTCTGTCAGACCTGACAAATCTTTCATCTGTTGTCCACAAACACTGGCGTCTTATTGAAAATGATCCTTCCTTAAAAGAGATTTTTCCATCACCTCTGGTCATGGCTTACCACAGACCCCAAAACCTCAAAGATATTGTATTTACATCTAAAGTGTCTAAACAAGAGACATCGAAATAGGAGGATATAAACTATGCGGAAGAGGCAACTGTAAGTGCTGCAAAGTCACCAACATTGAAACCCAATTCCTCAGCACAGTCACAACAAATAAATACAATATATTTATAACATCCAATTGCAAAACACAAAATTGTATTTATGTTCTAACGTAAGGAACTTGCAAGGTGCAATATGTTGGTGAAACAGTAACACCCATCAACATCCGACTGAATAACCATCCTTCATTTTATACAAAAGAAAGAAACTGCCCTATCACAAGACATCTTTTAAGAGAAGGGCATGATTTTGAAAACGTCACATTTCAAATCATTGAGCAAAACCAAAATTGGGACATGCAAGGGAGACAAAAGAGAGAGAGATTTTGGATGCACCAGTTACAGACTCTTGAACTGAATGGACTCAATGAAAGAGATGAGAAAGGATTTAAAAACAAATCAAAACAATAATCTTGAAATTCGTGCAATTTATACAACATCAATAAATATGTTAAACTTTTATTCCAACTGCTTGTAGCTTAAGCTATTTTTTGTAATGCATCCGATTTCACCTGGATAGATGCACACACCTGATGGAGCTGGTATGTCTAGCGAAATATTGCGTATATCTATTTAAAATCTAATAGAACTATTTTAATGTATCAATTAGCATGTTTAAGTTATATTCTTAGACATTTATATATATAACTTAATCATGCTAATTGATACATTAAAATGACATATATGTGTAATAAAGATTTTTCCTAATTAAATTTTAACATTTTTTATGTAGATACCATGGTAACATAAGTCGAGAAGAGGCTGACCGTTTGCTGTGTCAGGGTGATGGTTCATATCTAGTCAGGAAAAGTGAAAGAGCACATGATGCGTATACTTTAGCTATTAGGTAAATATAGATTCTACCACTGCATCATGTGTGATACAATATTTATCCACTCGAGACAGTTGAATTTTCAAATTTAAAATGCGAGGCTCGCTGAGCGCTTTAAACATTTAAAATTTAAATGTTGAGAGTGGATATATATCGTATTGCACAAGATTTGGTGGTGGAATCTGTTGATTTTTAGAGGACATACAGACAATCTTAATCCTTCTTTTCGAATGATCTGCAATAATCTATGTTCTTTCTATGTGACGTCATCAGGTAAGGTTGCCTTTTTTCATGACGTCACAGTAGGAAATTCAGAGGAAAGCAAGAAAATTTGACGTCATAATTGAATTTTGACCAGTGAAGAACTGAGATCAAACAACCACTTGTTGATTAAATAAAAATAATCAACAGGTCAGGAAAAGGATAAATCAGGTAAGAATTAGAGAATTGTTTATCTATATCTGTTCATCTTAGAAGAGAAAGGAGTTTTTGTTCAGATAGCTTCTAATAAATTATCTTCAAGATAGAAATATGAGACAAAGTTTAGAATCAATGAACCGTGAACATACTTTCTTCTAGGATGCTAGTTTCATTGTTTGTTTGGAAGTTAGTTTGTTTATGGGTTTAAATTCATGGTTGCCGATATCAAGTCACTGTAAAATGTGGCTTTGTTGCATATAATTAAACTTGTGATTTTGATAAATGTGAAATTACTGAATGTTGGTACTTCAAGATAAATAGTACTTTCATAGTATTGAGATATAAGTCAGAATTCAGTGCACATGAACTGTAAGTTTACATGATATCAAAGGTGAAAAATTTCTATTACATTTTGATTTCAAGATGAAAAAAAGTAAAAAAAATATACATGTCCTAATATTCACCAGTATCAGAATAATTATAAAGATAAAAATGTGAAAACTAACAATATATTTGAACTAAAGTTAACTTACATCAACATATTATGAAAAATGTATTTTTTTTTATTGTAGCTTTGAAGGACAAACCAAAAACTTTAAATTATTTAATGATGGTCAGCATTATGTTGGAGAAAAACGTTTTGATACAGTACACGATTTAGTAGCTGATGGACTTATTCACTTCTATGTGGAAGCTAAAGCTTCAGACTATATATCAAAACTTTCTAATGAATCAAATTATGCTGAGTCACCATATCTGGCTTACACTGCCAAGAAAAAGCGACTTCATCTTTCAGACAAAAATCGTAAAACTGTACTTCGACATCCAGGTGACCAGCCTGATGGGGAGAAAAGAATCTCAAATGGATCTGCAACAAATGGTGCCGTGGTTGATGATGATGTAAGTATATTTTTGTCTTGAATTCCTGTTTGCCTTTTTATGTTCAAACATATTGTTTTTTGGGATGTACAGCGGGCGGCTGCCAAACAGTGTCCGTTCATTAACATAAAAACGCTTTCGCGAAATTTTTTCAAATTTAGATATGATGTTTCCTGTGACTAAATGAAGGTCATGTTCAATTTTCTCAATTTTAGCTTTTCTCGTTGTTGAGTTATAGCCCTTTCCCAAGATTCCAATTTTCGATGAAATTCTTATTAATTACTCCATTCTGTTCAAAGGGTAATAACTCTCATTTTTTAAAAGATTTTTAAAAGACATTGTATGAATGATAAATGACATTTTGGATTTTCTTTTTTTTTTCTTTGGTAAATTGTTTAAAGAATTTTGTGGTAGGTTGTTTGTGATTCTGTATAAACTAATTTTCTGAATGCTATATATATATTTTTTTTGAGATTAAGTGAACTCCTTTAATTAGATAATAATGGATATATTTCATTACATTACATTGTGTAGATAAAGTTGTTGACATTAATAGATAAGATGCACATCTATATTACATAATGTAGTTTGCAACAAATGAAAGAAAAAATTTTGGAACTATTAATTATATTTGATTATAATTTGAAAATAGATATATATTGTGTAACATCATATCTAATTTTAGAGAACTATGTGTTTATAATTTATTCAGTTTGAGTTATTTCCCTTTGAACAGAAAATTATATGGATAAAATTAAACTGGGTTTCATTTCAGCATAAATTAAATATATATAGGGTTCTTTCAAATGGTGAATCTAAACCTGTATTTAAATATTAGATTTTTGGGCCAAGTTTTCAAGTTGGTCCAAATCAGGGTCCAAAACTAAACTTTGTTTGATTCAACAAAAATTGAATTTATGGGGATCTTCGAAATGCTGAATCTAACCATGTATTTAGAGATTTTGGATTGTGGGCTCCTTTATCAAATTGGTCCACATTGAGGTCATAAGGGTCCTAAATTAAACTTTTGTTTGATTTCATCAAATATTGAATTCTTGGGGTTCTTTTATATGCTGATTCTAACAATGTACTTAGATTTTGGATATTGGACCATAATAGGTAAATGTCCAATTTCAAATTTTTCAGTTCTTTGACCACATTCATTTTGTGTCACAAACCTATGCTGTGTCAAATATTCAATCACAATCTAAATTCAGAGCTGTTTTAAGCTTAGATGTAGTGTTCATACTTTCTCAACTGTTCAGGGTTCGACCCCTGCAGGAAATCCGGTTTGATGTCACTCTAACAGCCTCAACTTTGTTATACAATGTACCAACAAACTTCTTTTGTGTCGACTTTGGTAATTGTTGGCAGTCAATGAAAATAAAAGAAAAAAAGACTTTTTATATTTGAAGTTTATTTGATGTATACATGCCAGTTTCTAATGTGATGCATATCTTCTGATACTTCTTATTTTTTTAATTTTATTTCAATACTTATTTGCCAAGGTGATATTACTTGAATGTTTGATGGATTATCATGATTGTTGTTTGTTAACTCCAATAGCAAATATTTCGTGCATCTTCAGTATGCGAACAAATAAAAAATAAATAAAACAGGTTGTTTCTGCAGAGTGGGAGGACTTGGATAAAGGCCATGAATTAAGATTGCCACTGGAAAATGAGTTTATGTTTGATAGGGGCAAAAAATTTGACTAGCAATTGGCCGCTTACCTGTCCTTTCAAAGAATAGGTGCAAAGGTTCTTCAGTGTGGTATTCTCCCTACACAAGGCGTTTGTTTCAACATCCCCATTCCAACCATTCTTTGCATGTATTTATTCATCCTGCATAGCCAAACAGACTACCCTTGCATGGGAGTTGTACCACAGACAGAGACAGTGGAACCAAGTTCTATACCTAAGGGGCTTGATAAATTGATTAAAAATAATGCGATATTTTTAGAGAAAAAAAATTGTTAGAAATTATTATCAATCTAATCTCTAATCTTGCCTCCAACCGAAATTTTGATATTTCAACCCTACATGAGTTTAAAATATGTTATGGACACAGACATGACATACAATGTATAGGGCATGCGTTGGGGGTGGATGTTAGTGGGATTATAAGTGTAGATCAAAAACTGGTATTGGGGCTCAGCAGGAACCTCTTTCAACACGATTATTTTTATGGACCCTATATATTCCCTTATACCCCATCTGTAAGTGACTCCAAAAAACATATTATCTGCAAAATCCTGTTTGTCAGATAGACACATGTCCATCTGAAAATGATATTTGTAATACACCAGACCTGTGTGGAACTAAAAATCTTTGATATAAAGTTTGTTTTGATTACAAGAATTCTGACAGTTTTGCTCTCATAATCCTGTCCTTTTACTATTAAATTGCAAAATACACATAAACGAATTCTTGTACTATCAACCTCTTCTCTCTGTTATAGGCTAGAAAATATTTGACATGCTTAAAGCTGATATAAAACAAGTGTTCTCATCATTTTGTAGCTAGAGACAGAAGAACTGAATGCAAATGTCCATGAGTATGAAAAGCCTCATATGTTTAAGGTATGTTTTAAAACATCTACAAAATCATTAAAAGAAGGAGATTATGATAACAAGAAGATGTAAAAATCATGCCAAGAGGCTTGAAATTAAAGATACAGATACAAAAAGAAAAAAAAAACTTCTAGAAGTACTTAACTATGATACCACTCTTTAGTGTACAGATTTTATATGTTAGCAACTGTTGTCTTATATTTCAGTAAGTATAGATTAATTTCAATGCATGACAAAACTTCACTAAGTTAATCATGATTTTTTAGTGTGGTGGTGCTGAAGACAAGAATTGTTAACATTTTTATCCAACAAAGATGTAAAAGAATGACACTGATTTTATGTTTACACAAAGGCTATTGCTCGGTGCATTAGTCACATATGATATTAAAAGAAAAATTTATGTTTTAGACAACTAATTTTATTGGATTGAACTGGTGTGATTATTGTGCCAACTTTATGTGGGGATTGATAGCACAAGGTGTCAAATGTCAAGGTAAGCGAGGTAGATAAGATATAATTCTTTTTTTATTTGAATATTTTTCATATGTGATGAAACTTAATTTTATAAGATATTATCCCATCGTGTATATATGGCAATATTAGTCATGATAAACTAGACATATATATGGAAGTTTTTAACGACCTTGACTGGCTATACAGCCCTTGCACGGTCGGTGAACAAGACTAACATTTTATGGCAGTCCACTAATCAACCAACATGGCCACTGTAGCTAAATACAGTCGAACCTCGTTAAGTCCAAGTTGAAGGTACCAGACAAAAGTATTCGACTTATCCGAGGTTTGACTCGTCCAAGGTCAAGTGTGTCGTCATAAATATGGAATGCATGAAATGCGGTATGAGATTTGTGTAAAACAGTAATTCTTTTTATAAACCGTGTGCCTATTTTCGATATGACAATTTATGATTGTGTATTCAAGCTCCATATTTTATTTGGTCCATCATAATAATAAAACACACAAGTACAGAAACAAAACATTCATAAATAAAATCATTGTTGAAGGCCATACAGAGACATAGAGTTGCTTCAATCTATGTCAATTTGGACATTGGTGGATAGTTGTCTCATTGGCAATCATACCCTTATTTTATATAGGGCCTTTCCATAATTTTATTATGAGTCTAAGAATGATACCAGAGCCATTATTTGAAACAAAGTGTGGTTATCTATTTATCACTAATTTATAAATATACTTCTATGTTAACATGACATATAGTTTGATCAGTCAATACTTGGATTATTTACATATGACTTCAAGTCAGATTTTGGGGATTTATATTTGAGTTACAAATTTGTCATATTAAGTAAGCAGAAAACACATATCACATCAAACTACATGATGACAATGAATAATATTGATGATTAACACATTAATGTATAAAAAAGAAAGACACAGAATAAGATTTTATATGAATTTATGTTTTTTTTTTAGTAAGTGCACATTTGAATTCTAACATAAATATGTTGCTTAGCATTCATACTCCAAATAACAGCTGTGCAGTCAACAAGTTTTATAATTGTGTATATATTTTATTTATTCTTCTTTTCATATGTTTGATAGTTTTTATAATGAACATTTACAATTACATATATTTATGCCCCCGCCGTAGCAGAGGGGGCATTAAGTTTTACCCTTGTCCGTCTGTACGTTCGTCCGTCCGTCCGTACATACGTCCCAAAGTTGGTTTCCGTTCTCTAACTTTAGTTTGCCTCAACCAAATGTCATGAAACTTATACACAATGCTTATTACTACTAAATATAGATCAAGTTTGAATTTTGGTGGCGTCACTTTTACCGTTCTAGAGTTATGCTCCTTTACAAATGGAAAAATTGCTAAATTTTTATTTTTCTTTAATTTGCTTTAACAAATAAAAACATAAATCTGATAAACTGTAGAGCATTGTGCAATGCCTTTTTCATTAATTCTTAAATTATCAAAATAGAAATATGACAGGGTATTTTTTAATACTGGATTTAAGTAAAAAAGAACAAGGGTTTTGCTGTATAACTTAAAAAAAATAATCAAGGAAGTTTAAGTTTAAGTATACAATATTAAATGATTAAAATGGTGTCATTTAAGTGGTATATACAATTACAGCTTTACATATATTTTAGAGTACTTCCTCATTGAAGAACTTCACTAACCATACATTTTTTCACGAATAAAAATTTTAGAGTTAAATGATTTTTTTTTTAATTTGTTGTATATGAATAGAATATTTAACCTTGGTAATATATTGATATGAGATGTTAATAAATTAAGCCAAAACATTTTGGATACACTCCTAAGGGAACAATTGTTAGATTATCCATACTCCTTCTCACTAGTAATCCTTTATGATGAACACACTCGTAGTAACTGTAGATATCTGAAAGAATAAGAATTGAACATCAAGTTTTTGGTGGGTTCCGTTTGTTCAATCCTTAGTTTTCTATGCAAAGTTTTGTGGACATGCTCATCTTTTCACCCTTTTTTGGTTTTTGCTGTGGCTTTGTCATTTTTTCTTCGACTTGTGAGTTTTGAATGTTCCCTTGATATCTTCTGCCTCTTATTTCCCATTCAACAAAATATTGCACTTTTTAAGTTAAATCTATGACCTCAACACGTGATGGGACAATGAGAATCTATTTTCTTTTTTCAATTAGTTACTTTTCAAATATTTCCAATTGCAGTTCAGATAGTTGTAATATTTAGTCAAATACAAATAGATACTTTTGAGGCAAGTTGACCTTAGATGAATTTTTTAATTTTTTAGCTCACCTGGCCCGAAGGGCCAAGTGAGCTTTTCTCATCACTTGGCGTCTGTCGTCCGTCGTCCGTCGTCCGTCGTCGTTAGCTTTTACAAAAATCTTCTCCTCTGAAACCACTGGGCCAAATTTAACCAAACTTGGCCACAATCATCATAAGGGTATCTAGTTTAAAAAATGTGTCCGATGACCCCGCCAACCAACCAAGATGGCCGCCATGGCTAAAAATAGAACATAGGGGTAAAATGTAGATTTTGGCTTATATCTCTGAAACCAAAGCATTTAGAGTAAATCTTACATAGAGTAAAACTGATTATCAGGTCAAGATCTATCTGCCCTGAAATTTTCAGACAAATCTGACAACCCGTTGTGTGGTTGCTGCCCCTGAATTGGTAATTTTAAGGAAATTTTGCTGTTTTTTGGTTATTATCTTGAATATTATTATAGATAGAGATCAACTGTAAACAGCAATAATGTTCAGCAAAGTAAGATCTACAAATAAGGTGTCATGACCAAAATTGTCAGTCGACCCCTTTAGGAGTTATTGCCCTTTATAGTCAATTTTTAACAATTTTTCGTAATTTTTTGTAATCTTTTACAAAAATCTTCTTCTCTGAAACTACTGAGACAAATTTAACCATACTTGGCCTTAATCATTATTAGGGTATCTAGTTTAAAAAATTTGTCCGATGACCCCGCCTTCCAACCATCATGGCCGACATGGTTAAAAATAGAACATAGGGGGTAAAATGCAGTTTTTGGTTTATATCGCTGAAACTAAAGCATTTAGAGCAAATCTGACAGGTGGCAAAAATGTTCATCAGATTTAGATTTATCTGCCCTGAAATTTTCAGACGAATCCGACAACCCGTTGTTGGGTTGCTGCCCCTGAGTTAGTAATTTTACAGAAATTTTGCAGTTTTTTGTTATTATCTTAGATATCATTCTAATATCTAATACTATTAATTATGATTTTAACCTTATTTTACATGATTTCCAAAGCATCAGTAAATACAGGTGAGCGACACAGGCTCTTGAGAGCCTCTAGTTTTAGGTCCCTTTTGGTCATATATAGCTTCTAACATGTCTACATATTTATACATTACCTGGTTTTTAAATGTATAGGTTTGATCATTCCTGATGAAAGTAAAGCAGGAAAAGTGCCTCGGACGCACAAAGTTTATTTAAGAAATAATTCATGGAAGCCATAGATTTGTTGGACATGTACACATGGCCTGGGCCGTGATATTCGAATTTTATCCTGAGCGTTAGCGAGGGATAAAATTAACAAATATCACGGCCCAGGCCATGTGTACATGTCCAACAAATCTATGGCTTCCATGAACTATTTCGATTCTAATAGGACAAATACGGTTATTTAAAAACTGAAGCGAACGTAACATTGCCGTGTGTATGACTGTTCCATTTTACCCCCTGTAAAATAAAAGCTACAAATTTCATATAAATCTAAGTCTTACATGAATTATTTCTCAAATAAGCAGTGAAAAAAATGTGTTCAATTCTCATAATTCTTAACCCAAACATTTATTTTTCGTTGGCTACTATTTACTGTCAAATCCAGAGTTGACATGTCGTAACTAAGGAATGAGCCGCCATGTTGACTTGCTGAAATCTACAAATGTGTGAATAATGCAATGGAATAGAAAATGAAACAACACCTACCTCAAAACTCCATTTTAATGCAATATTATCCAAACTTAGGGAGTATACGTAACTGAATACATTCAGCTTTAAAGTTTTCATTCGTATGACATCATGTTATGACATGACGTTAATGCGCCAAGATCATTCATGAAATTTGGCGGAATTTTATTTTATTTTGATTTTATACATTTTTTAAGCTCTTGTGCATTAATTATTTTTGTTATGCAATATAATAGGAATAATGGTTCTGTAGTTTCTTTTTCAATTTCAATTTGGACACAACGAAATCAACATAGTGTTTGCACATAGGTTACGATACATGTGGATTTACGTGTGAGGTAAATAGTAACAGCCACCAATATGCACATCTCTGAGTCTGCGCTAAGTATAGATATATCGAGAATTTTATCACAGTGTTGTTTACAAAGCGAAAGAAGCACGTCATATTAGAATAAGTGTTATTTTTATTTCAGATTGTGGTTTTAGTGCTCACAAAAAATGTTCAGAGAAAGTCCCAAATGATTGTATGCCAGATATTAAATTTGTAAAGAATCTTTATGGTGCTGATTTGACGACTGCTGTGAAGTTACGCAATACTCCCTTACCCATTGTTGTTACAAAATGCATTAAAGAAATAGAAAGTCGAGGTAAGTAACAATAAATTGAACCAATCAGTGAAATTTAATTATTTCTTAGATGCAAGTTAATTTTTTTTCATGGATTTTTTAATCATAGTTGTGAGATTTGATATGTATACAAATTCATTGTATTCAGGGTTGAAAAAAATGTTCAGAAGTATTAAATGCAAGTTAAGAAAGTCTTCCCTAACTATGCCCATTGCTCAGAAGTAGGGTATACATGTGTACTGTCTGACTGTCCTGTCCCATGAAATTTCCAATGTATTTTTCTCCGGAACTACAAATTAAAGGTTCCTAAAATTCAGTAACATGCATTATATGAGTAAGAAACATGCTTAACTGTGTGATGAGTTTTCAAATTCATCACTCATCAACTTCCTGTTATGTATACATTTAAACTGGTTCTCATCATCTTGATCAGTTTTGATAAACTAAACATTTGTTATATTGGTCTCATGTAGAATCCCTCCCTTTCCATTAGGAACATTGTACTTGGCACTTACTATTAATTTATTAGAGAAACAGATTCTACCACTTAACCATTGTTGATGTCAATATTTATTCTTTCTCTGTATTAATTTAAAAAAAAATTAATATGCCTGGTTAATCTTGCATTTTGAAAAATTAATTACTGGAGGGGTGTGGTAGAATCTATAATTATAGCAGAAATGTATTTATGTGTTGCAATAACTGTAGGTTTGGAACATGAAGGCTTATACAGAATAGCTGGATTACATGACGAAGTGGAAACTATCAGAATGGAATTTGATAAAGGTATATTTTATATTCATTGTTGATAGAAAATGGTATATTTTGTATGCATTGTTAAAAGATAATTGTATATTTTGTATGCATTGTTAATAGATAATTCTCTCTGTTTGTCACGGCACCAGTGTTAGGTTTTGAGTTGTATACTTTGCATTGTTTTAAGTTAAGGGTGATTCTGAAAATATATTTCTGTACATTTCTATACTCTATTCAAACATAAACATAACATAGTTACAATAATCCACATAGTTGCGCGACGTCATACATTTAGTGAGGGTGACACATTTAGTTACACTTTACGTTCCCTCAATTCTCGACAAATGGTTTATTTTATATGCATTGTTAACAATGTTTTATTTTTCATTGTAAATCCAATTTTTTGGCCCAGTTATAGATATAATTCGACAACAGCTTTGAAAAACATCATAGATAAAAAGTTTCAGATGTCATATATATCCTAAAGGTTTAAGCTTCACCACCTCTGCAGTCTTCAAATACCAATAAATAGCATCAGAATTCAGGTTATATGACAAGGAAATATATTTTTTTTATTACAATAATATTTTGTTTTAGATCTTGAAAAGACAGATATTAGTGAAGCCAAATATGATGACATCCACAGTTTAACCAGTGTACTAAAACTATATTTCCGTCTTTTACCCATACCACTAGTTACATTTGATGCTTATAAAATTTTACTGGAAGCAATAAGTGAGTATGCAGAATGTTACAAGTTCAATTATAAATTATTAAATATCTAAGTAATACATGTATATTAAAAGGACTAAACATTTGCTCGGGATTCATTTTAAGAGTGGGATTTGCTAGATGTGATCACAGGGTATTCTAAAAATAGACTGAAATCTACATCTACATTTATAATGTTGATCTTTTGTGGGAATTCATAACACTGAAAAAGTGTAGTAAATAAGTTTCTAGTATATAGCTAATTCAATTTTAACCTTCAATACCCAATAGACCAATTTTAATTGGTATTTGAGAAAATGATATTTTGAATTGATATAGCTAATTATTGTCACATATAATGTAATGTAGGTTCCTATAGATTATGACATCACTATATCTAAGGTCAAGGTCAGAGCTACTAAAAATAGATCAAAATTAGTCTATTATCTTGGTCACATATAATGAGTGGTACTTGATTTTTGAGGTCACTATGTCTAAGGTCAAGGTCATAGGTACTAAAGATAGGCTATAACTACATCTACACCTACAAGTATACTGTTGATCTGTAGTGGGAATTCATAACTTAAAAAATTGAGTGTAGAACAGGTTTCCAGTAAATAACTCCAGAACCTTACATGGGCTCAGCAAAATCTCTGATGAGTTTGGTAATCAGAAAACTCTGGAATAGGGGACAATATATGTATGTTCTATTGAAAATAATTTTATGTTTTGCAGAATATTGTGATTTAAGAAGTCAAGAACAGTTGGCTAAAGTTAGAGAAGCTTTGTCTAAACTACCTCCTGCCCATTATCAAACTCTGAGATATTTATTGGCACACCTTGTCAGGTAAAGCATTAAATGATTAAACACATTTATTTTAGAGGAATGATGTGTAAATGGGGCAATCAAAAGTTTGTGAGAAAGCGACCTAGTTTACACATCAATAACCTCAAGAAAAAAATGTGCTTAATCATTATAATTCTTAAACAAAACATTCACAATTTTTAATTAACATTTTTTTCTTCATTGGCTACTATTTACCATCAAATGCACAATTGACATTTTGTAACTAAGGAGTAAGCCACTATATTGACTTGCTGTAATCAATTAATATGCGATTAATGCAAAAGAATCTAAAATGAAATAACACCTACCTCAAAAACTTCATTTTAATGAGGTATCTGCATTTGAATTGTACAAGTAACAGAATAATATCAGCTTTAGAGTTTTCATTTGTATGACGTCATGTTTTGCCATGAAATTAATGCACCATGATCATTTGTGAAATTTTCCATCAAATTCAATGAAGACTGGTCAATTTCCATTGGTTATCAACAGAAACATATAGCATGTGTGTCTCCAAAACAATCTTGTAAAATATTTTGTTTGTTACAACAAATATATGTCTGTCTGACTTGAATTATTTGTTTTGTTGAACCGTGCAGTCTATGTTTCCTAGACCTAAATTTGGAGTTAATCCAGCAGATTTTGTCAAATTTCACCAAGTATTTTTATGGCCTATTTTGGGTGGAAATGTCAACGTTTCATTAGATAAGTTCTACAAAAATGTTCTCTTTCTCTTTCTCACATGTTGATTAATCGTTTTGAAATGCTTTTCAGCTTGAAATAATTGACTTGATATTAGGGCCAAATAAGGCCCTTGCCACACTGCCTGTACCATGAATAATTTCAGTGAATTTTACACCAAATTGACTGTTTGACTCATACATTTTGAGAAATAATGTATAACACTACACTATCTCAGGAAAGCTGACAAAGAAAGTGTATTTTAGCCAAAATGTTACTGAAAGTTGTCTGGTTTTTGCTCAAAAACCCATTTCTTCCATATGATGCTCACTTTACTAATGTCATAGTCAATTGTGTTATATTCTTATACTTTCTGAAAAAATTTAATTCTGAATTTAAAAAAAACATGAAACAATTGATCTTTTTCAGTAAATTTTTAGGGCCAAAACAAGCCCCAAAAGGTACTTTCTCCTTTCTTTTAAGCCGTTGAACACAATTCATCAACAATTTGGTGGCAATTAACAATTATATGACACACAATGTCTGTGTCTTCCAATGGTTAAGACCATCTATTCCTAGTATACACATTGCCTAAAGTAATGTTTATTAAATATTAAGGTGAAGAAGAAATGTATTATAAAAAAAGTTTTTCACACTACTCTTTATATTGGTAAATACTTGAAATTTTAATAGACTTAAAATGATTTAATTATAGAGTAACAGAGAAAAAACCAAAGAATATGATGGGACCTGACAATCTAGCAATAGTATTTGCTCCAACTCTAATGAGAAGTCCAGAGGCAGATCCATTTGTCAGTTTACTGTCAGCTGGCCACGAACAAAGATCAATAGAAGTCATGATATCATGTTACAGAGACTTGTTTGGAAGAATTAGTGCACAACAAAGTGTTACAGAACAAAGACTGGTAGATCATGTGTAGGATTTCATACAGTTCAAAACAAGGAACTACTCATGTGTAACAGTTCATGCAATACTCTGTTCATACAGTTCACAGCATGTGGATCGGGTTATGGTCATACAATTATCTTTGTTGTTACTAAATTATGTAACAAGATATATCGCATCATATGACATAGATAATGTATCACTCCATATTTAAATTAACAAGGTCAAAGTGCCATATGTCAATGATTTAGATTATTTTACCACCTGCTTATGATGTATAGTGATTGTTGTATCTGTTTGTCACCATTTTCTTGTCGGTCTACAATTTTTATCAGCATCTACCAACTAGAGTCTAGATTTCATTGGGAATTCATTGAAAATTTCAACATATTAAGAACCAAATGGTATTTTGCATCTATCTTTATTTATCTATTTACTAATATAATTTCTACGATTTCAATTCAGTACAGTAAATCATGAATAATGCCATAGTTAATTCTAAGTTCTGATCACAGCTTTTTTTCTATCATTAGTACTTGTTTCTTTTTCTAACATGATCAAATTCTTTTTTTTTTCTTTTCTGTTTTTTATTTTAGATTGACAGAGTAAGGCATAAAAGATTCGAAATCACAGTTCAAACTTGAGTGGGATAATTTATTTTAATTGATAAGTTTGAAAAAAACTGAAGTTTGGCCATATAGCTCCTAACATTGGTATGTTTAAACATCCCTGGTTCTCAAATGGTTGGATTTGAGTGCTCCTTGTGAAGGTGAAATTCAATTATGTGCGTCAGAAGCACAAAATGTATAAAGTGTTCCTTCCATTTACAAATAGAATAATTAGACCAAGCATTGATGACAAAGACATTTTACGAACTTATGGACAACGAGGTGATACAATAACTTTTTTTCTATTAAGTATTTAATGTAAATCAACTAGCATTGCCAAATTTAAGTTACATATGACTTGCATTACATGTAAATTAAAAAAAAAGATAAACTTTACAGCATTATTTTTAGACCAAGAATTGTTCACTCATTTTAGCAAAGATCATATAATCCATGTATCAGCATTTTCCTTTTTTGTCTTCAGACCATGTGAGAAACTTTACTGAAAGAAAGTATTTTGTTTTGTTTAAGATGGATAAGGATTATGTTGGAAAAGTTTTCAGTTAAAGCCGTTTCATTATTCACATTCTTCACATGAAAGAAACCATGAAACCAAATATATTGATTGTTACATAAAGACTGCAATTGACCACAAAATTATTTTTAATGGATGGTCTATCCTCCTTTATACATTTCTTTCTATCATTTTAACAGGTTTAATGCATTTTCCTTCTGTGGAATATATCCTTAATTCAAAATAAAGTCACTAATTTATGGTTTAAATCATTTTTGTTGAAAAATTACACTATTTGACCTCAAGTTTGGTAATGGTTCAGATACCTCCAGTTACTTTAAGATTAAATCATGAACATTTTAAAATCGTTCATATTGTGTACCCTGCTTTTGATACAATTTTTTATAGAACATGTCTAGATACAATGTGTTCAAACTCTGGAATAAGGCTTGAAATCAGCCTAATGTTATCATAGGATAATTTGGCTGATTTTGTCAAGTTGCTAATGAGAACTTCCACTTAAATCATTCTTGGACTATGTGCTATCTATTAAATTTACTTTTAATAATTTGATCTTTATAGATAAAGGAAACTATATTACACAATGAATAGATGATACACTAATTATAGCAGTTTATATATTTGTTTAAAGTTCAGTTTTTGCATGAATGAGTATAAAATACAGTATTTTAGTGTATTATCCCTTAATAGACATTTGTTACATTATATTGTAAGGTCGGGTGAATGCATCATGTATATTGATTATATATTTACAATTAACTTGTAACCTTGACAACTTACAAGTGTAGCTGAATCCTTTAAGTAAACATTTTGATGCTGTTAATTATTATAAACATAAGAAGGACTATTATTTCCCTGTAATTTGACCTTTGATATGATAATTTTGTCATTCTTAATATATGAAACAAATATGCGTTTACACACTACAAAACTGAATATAGTTTTACGACAAATGATTTCTGTGTTAACATATGTTTTTTTCCTTTTCCATCAGAAAAGAATTTATGTGAATTATATGCAATAAAAGGATATTTTAAATTCAGATATTGATACAATGTTTTATAAAAGAAAAATGCAACATGATGAAAATTACATCCTAAATTTTTGCTGTAATAATTTATTATTCAGTGAAATTAGATAATTGACAAGCAATTATCCTTACCCAATTTCTCTTTTACTGTGTTTTAAAAAAACAACTATTAAAACATTGCTAAGATTCTCTTGTGACAGCACCCCAGTTTCTTTTATAAAACAAAATCTCATTAACATGAAAAGTTGTAATAACTGCATTCTAGGTCTATTTTTCTTGCTAAGATCAGAAGATTGAAGACAATTAAGTATTGTTTTAAATTGCAAATTAGCAAAAATCTTTTTGATTTGCTTCATTCGGTGATACAATCAAGAATAAGTTTTTTTTAAATGGCAGCTTTTCTCAGGGTTTTGTAGCAATAGTTCATATTTGGTTTAGCAGAATTATCTAGAATGGTATCTGATCATTGTTATGATAGTAACATTGTATTATATGATATTGCTTAATTGAATTGCTTTTCTTTAGATTTGCTTTTACATTATTTAAGTTCCAAAATAAACTTCTGCTGTTGTCTGTTCTATGGTCGGGTTGTTGTCTCTTTGACACATTCCCCATTTCCATTCTCAATTTTATTCAAGACTTGAAATTATAGAATTTATGTTTTATTAAATTTCTTATAAAATATGTTTTTACTTTTTGCATAATTTTGCATAATGTCATCAGAATAGTAACAAGTCTGTATTATGATAGTAATGTGTTTACAACAGTAACAAAATGCATGCTTAGTTTTTACCAGAGCACTTTGAAATTGGTTATTGTTTGGTTTGAAAATTCACATCTGGCGTATTATTTTCCCCTATTTAGCAATGCCCCTCATAATTTATTAGTTTATCATAGGTTTTCTAAGCTTAGTCTTTAAAAGTACCTAGTTTTAAGAAAATTTTATCATGTTTTCCATTTCATCTTGCTCTTTGTAATTTTGAAACATAACACACATTGTGTGTTTCCTAAACAATAGTATTAAAACCCACATCACTAATGTCCAGTTCCCCAGCATTATTTATTTTATGTCTAATATATCCATTAATCTTATTTAAATTTGATGGCCATTTCTACTTACATATTTGATATTGACTTGTTTTATATTTTTTATACGACCGCAAAAAAATTTTGTGGTCGTATATTGTTGAAGGATGTAATACCAATTTTTTGTTGTTTGATTTTATTTTTTATTCCATATCAAAGGTAGTGGACAGAGCTTGGAGAGGGACAAAGGTTTGGGTTTGGCCTCCTCCATTATCAGTCCAAAAATGTTGAAAAGTTGTAATTAAATTGTAAGCTTCTATATGTTGGCCTGTTTGATTCACTTGTTTCATTAAGCCTGCTATCTTTTTTTGCTTCTTTTTCTAAAGTTTTTATTGATATTGTTAAGCATATTGATTTTAAAAGGGGGTGGCAATGAGGACTGGATTACTCATCTAGAGATCAAGTACTGGAGTGAAAATTTCAAACTCTGATGCTCGAATAAATTATTTTTGACATTACCCCTTGATAAAAATTTTAAGCTGAGTTTTCATCTTTTGAAACTGCTTCTTTATCGTAAGATGAAGAGTGTTCATTATTACAGCAAGAAAATCAGCACTATAAAACAACAGTTAAAATGCCGCACCAAAATCGGCTGTCTTGATCTATTTCAAAGATTGTCATATGAAAATACAGATAACTGAACTCTACTGTGTGACAATGAATGAACACAGAGGTACTACAGTATATATTTGCACAAGAAAATGAATACATGAGAAAGTTTACATCCTTCATATGTTAGCTAAGAATTCAAGTACTTGCCCAAATTTGAATAGAGTACTTGAGTGTTGATTCCACAGAAAATTGCCATCCTTGAATTTAATGTAGCAGATATTTGTTGAACTAAAGTTTGCAATGCACAACATTTGTGGAAGATTTTTATAAAGTGCAATATATTATTCCATAAATAAAGAGCATTTGCAAAAATCATGTTTATAAATTATCTATAAAGGGATTCAATTTCAATCCCAATTAATATTGTTTCTACTCAAATTCATAAACTTTTGTTATTTTTTTTATTAGTGTGAAAATTGCAATAAAAATGGTATAGCATAAATAAAAACTCAAATTTTAATGATTTTGATAGCATCATTTGTATGCAGAATTTACTGAAATGACAATAATTTATCTCACAGTTTTATACTTTCTTCTAAAATCCCATTAATAGATGCACACAACATTTTCTAAATTTACAGTATTTGATAAAGAAAAAGACCTCTTATGAAAGATTTTACATTGACAGTATTTATTAAAAGTTTTCCAGCTACTTAAAAAATAAGTAGGAGTTTTGCTCCATAGGAAATGTGTTTACAGTAGTTAATTTTTACAAGGTCCTCATGTAATCAACTAGTTAGTATTATATATAAATAGGGAAACATGAGTTGGTAAGGATTGGGGAGACAAAATCTATTTAATACTATGATCAAGATAAATACAAATAACCTGTCTTGGAATTTTACTGACACTTTGCACAATTATATCTTGTTAAGTCACTTGTTGTATTATTTGTCACAGTATGATTCCAAGATAAGTTATATTTTAATTATCATTTGTGATACAAGAAGGTAAATGGTAAAAAAAAATATTTTTAATTTTTTTGTATTTTTGATTAAAAAGATGGTAATATTCTGCTCCCTAGCAAAAGTCTTTCTTTTAAAAGAGATTTTGACAGAGCTTAACCCATGTAGAGGAAGAAATTTTCATATATAAACATAGCCTGTTATTATTATCAGATAGCTATATATGCATTTGTTTTCAATTAGCATGTAAAAAAAATTCATTTGTAATTTTGAAAAAGATTTATTTAGTGTTGTATGCTTTTCACCATATTGCTTTTTCACTTTCTGACTATAGACTAGTTCGTCTTCAATAATATTAGATGGAATATGGTGAAATATATTGATTGTGAAGAATATAAGTATTTTTTAATGAAACACTAGAGGGTATGTAAGTGCGCTAAATCATTGCAATTTTCCTGATCTTTATTTTAAAGAAAATTCACAAAATGAGTTCAGAAGAAATAAAATCAGTTTCGCTTCAGTTTTTCACTATTTGTCTCTTTTTGAAAGAAAAGGCCCCATGACACAAATAATGTAAACATCAAAATGACATTTAGGAAACATACCATGGTATGGTATGTTAAGAATCTTTTCTGAAATATTGCAGTACATGAAGAAAATGTTTCTAGTGTTTTATTAATCCTCTATTAAACACATTCAATGAATAGCCAATATTCATGGTATGTACATTTATTCAAATACACTCAAGCACTTAAATACAGATTTTTAACTAGTTGACTGTTTTGATCTGAACTGATTTCAAATCATGAACAAAAATGATACTAGTAGTCAATTTCAGTCTTTCAGTTTAAAAGTCTGAACAATAAATTAGATACTAGTATCATTTTCAGTCTTTCAGTTTATTTTCAGACTTTTTCATTGCAGTTAATTTAGTACTAAATAGACACCATGTTTTTATGTGAATTAGTTTTGTTGTATATGTTCAAAGTTTTAAGTAGCTGTTGTTAACCTGTGCTAAGGGATATCTACATGTACTGAAATTTTGTAACATAACAGATCTCAATTGACTGGAACTGAAATGTCAAAGCAATATTTAGTTTTGTGCATGGAAAATGTCTGAATTCAGATGCATTTACCACTGTAAAGTCAGGCATTTCAGATCATGTTTAAATCAAAATGTCTTCTTCAGTCAAAAGTTCATTTTCTTTTGAATGCTAATGATAGATCTGTTACTTTTGTCACATGTTCAGTTTACTCACTGTAGATTATTTATATATTTTGTGTTGTTGACTTTTTTTTCTGTACCGAACAAAACAATTTGCTTTTCTAAAGATCGTTTAACATTGATTTATTATTTCCTTTAAGGGAAAACAGGATTTAAGTAAACGTCTTTCATGCTGTAATATTTGGTAATTTTTCAGTTTATTGCTGTTATGTAAACATATTTACCCTGCAAACGCCACTTTTCAGGGGCATTTCATATTTTGGACGTGAATATGCATTTGATATTAACCACTTAAGTAAAATCAATAGCAATCTGGTAATGAACAAAAAAAATAGTAATTTTGTTGTCAACCTTCATAAGATATTGGAAAAATTAAACCATAATTCCTTCATTCTTGAACACCTTATTCCTTCAGAAATTTGTGTTAGGTTCTTTCACCAAGGACTGATCTGAGGTATTGAATATTTGAGGAGAAAATAAATCCATGTTGTTTTGTTTTGAACACTTCAATTATAGAGAATTGATGGCAATTTAATTACCCAACTTTATTGTTCAAAGACAGGTCTGAGGTATTTTTAATAGTACAATTACTTTTTTGGACAAATTAGTGCAACTTAAAAGCTTATCCCTTTAACTGGGGAATAATTTCATATAAACAGATATGATAGACTTACATCGACTTATTTGCATTTGAAGCTTGTCGTAACTCACTTGGGTCAAATGATAGTTTAGATCTGCCAAACAATGTTGGTTCATTTATATTTGTGGTTTAACAAATCTTTGTTGATTTCGTAGGTAGAACAAAACTACGAATTTGAAAAGACTGAAATACAGATTTTTAGTTGCCATGAAAAAAGCAAATGATAAAACCTCAAATTTAGGTACCCTCAAAATTATGTTTTTTCTCCAACCACAAAAACTTATACCAATGGAATAAATGAATGAAAAGTCCCCAATATAAGTTTCCAAATAAACTCATCATATATTTTTCTTTTTCCTATATCCAGTAACAAAGTTTATATGTAATTGTTTGAGCATTTAAACAATCCATTTTCCCTTTGTTCTACACATAGCTTAATATTTGTCTGGTCTGCAACAAGAATAGTGAAAGCAAGTCCAAAGCCTGCTGTGTTGTCAACTTCAATAATTGTTAAAGTTTGTGATGAGGTAAAAAATTAGACATATCTGTGTTAAAACTTTATGCTTCTTCTGTAGTTTAAATGCTTTTGCTGTTGTTTTGATACTGTTGCCAGTAATCCAGTATTCTGTGTTCTCTTTTAAAAGACTTTGTCGATTATGTAGAGATACATATATCAGTATCTCGGATATGCATTTTCTTTATGTGTACAACACTTCTATTACATTATCGAAAAAAAAAATGACAATTGGTCTCTGGTGGAAAGTTGTCTCATTGACAATCATAATACATCTTATTCTTATATTGTATGATTTAAACTTATAAGATAGTGACAAGGAAAGAGTTTTTCTGATGAAACAAACTTTAAAAAATACCTATTCTAAATGGTATTTGACAATTTGTAATAAAGAAGCAGCAAGCATTCTTTTATTTAATGATGTCTCATATTTCATTCACTAAAACAAACTTGTATGTTCTTCTTTTCCCCTCCAAACAAGTTTTGAGGATACTTTTAAAAGATTTGTTGCAATAGGTTTCATGGATTTAAAAAAACAATATAGTCTTAAGATCACAGATACTTGTCTCAGAAAAAAAAAGTGCCTGTGTTATATTAAGGTATATAGGAATTCTTTTGTTGAGACAAGTGCCTGTGCTTAAGATATATACTTAGATACTTTATAGGTGTGTATGATTTTCATTAAATGCAATGTTATCAATTTGGAATTGAATACAAGAGAAACTCTGAAACTGAACAAGGAGAATGCATTTAAAAACATTAGAAAAATACATAAATGAATAAATTTCTTCATGAATTTATAGCTTTTGTATTTTCGGCTATTGCAACATCACATTGTGCTGGTCATGATGTTATGAAAATACAATGATATTCCTAAATGTATAATGCATGTAAAGATATAATTGATGTACGTCTTTTTTTGCTCTACAATGAAAGAAACATTTATGCTTTCATTTATTTGTGGATTTATACCTTAATTATTATTGTTGTTATATAAGTACCAAATACATATGATATTGTGGAAGTTAATTGTTTTGTAATAATAAAATTTCATTTTCACTCAGTAGTTTCTTACTTTGAAGGGGAAGGTGAGATTGCAAAATAAATACTACCTTGAATAAAAGAATAAATTTTAAGCTCTATCTGAACAAAGAATTTTTTTTTTCACTGTTCTGTAAATAAGCATTTGAACCAAACCACTTTAGTTGCCAGTTAATTTTGAAGACCTCATATATCCATGTTAATGTGTTTCATTTTTATGCCCCTGCCACTCAGTTGCTGGTGATGCAGTGCTACTGTAATGATATGTGAGGTATACATCAATGAAGCAGCTACCCAACGCCAAAAATAACCAAAAGACAACACAGTCCTCAACAAAAGATAGGTGTCTATGCAATATGTCAAGATGTAAATTGTCCAATATCTGTCATTCCAAAAACTAAAAGCTTGTTTTGTTACGTCTGTAGACTTTGAGCTCACTTAGTTAAGTTTCCCAAACAAAGTTTGGAGACTTATTGTTCTTCTTCTTCCGCCGCTTTTATAGATGAACTTGTCCACAGCAATTTTCCAAAACCGTTAAGCCTACTGAAAGGTCATAAGGTTTATGGTCAATAATGACCTTGACTTAAAAAAAATTCAATAGAGAGAGTCCTTAGGGGTTTATAATTATGGGGATTTGTTTGGAAGACTTCGTAACAGCATCCTGTTAGAATCATTTCTTGTTAATAAAATGTTTTATGGTGAATTACAGATTAATTACAAGGAGTTACAGCTTTTCTGTCATTCTCTAAATGAGGGTATTTTCATAACTCAATTAGTTTTAATCTATAGGTCAAATTATTTTTTTTTTTTAGAAATAAATTGATATGTCTAATTGATTTATATTAACAGAGACATATAATACAATTTGTATTGTAGTATATGTCTCTGATATTAAGAAAGGTAACTTACCATGTTTTGGTAAAAATATTTTGGAACAACCAGTTTGTCAAAACAGAAACTTCTTAATTGAGTCTTGTGTAAACTTGATGCACGTCTGACGTACCAAATTAAAACCTGGTGAGTTATTAAAGCCACTGTGTCGATGTAACTGCTGGTTGATGTTTCGTCCCCAAGGGTATCACCAGCCCAGTAGTCAGTAATTCAGTGTTGACATGAAATATCAAGGATTTGTTCATTTTCTGGGAATTTATTGTCATAAATTGTTGAAATATTCGAATTACTAAGGTTTGTGTACTCCAGGCATAGATTGCCTTAGCTGCATTTGGCACAATGTTAGATATCTAAATTTTTTTTAGCTCACCTGGCCCACAGGGCCAAGTGAGCGTTTCTCATCACTTGGCGTCAGTCGTCCGTCGTCGTTGTCATGGTCGTCGTCCGTTAACTTTTACAAAAATTTCTTCACCTCTGAAACTACTGGACCAAATTTAACCAAACTTGGCCACAATCATCATTTAGGTATCTAGTTTTTAAAATGTGCCCGATGACCCCACCCGCCAACTAAGATGGCCGACATGGCTAAAAATAGAACATAGGGGTAAAATGCAAGTTTTGTCTATTATTTTGAAAATTGTTATAAATAGAGAAATCTGACATGGGCAAAAATGTTCAGAATGTTGAGCTCGATCTATCAATTGTTCATTGATTTCAAAACTGTCAGGCGACTTCTTATAGTTGTTGCCCTCAAATGACAAATTTTACCATTTTTTTTTAAGTTTTTGCCTTTTATCTTGAAAACTATAATAGATAGAGAGAAACTTTTAGTTGCAAAAATGATCAGCAAGACAAGATCTACAAATAAGTATGATGGTGGAAATCGTCAGTCGACTCCTAATTAGAGTTATTGCCCTTTGATGACAATTTTTACCAATCTTTTGCGTTTATTGCCTTATATCTTTATATTATAATAGATATAGAAACTTAAATAAGCAAAATTGATCAGCAAGACAAAGTCTACATTTAAGACAATAGAGGAAATTTTCCGACGACTCCTTATTGGAGATGTTGCCCTTTAATGACGATTTTTACCAGTTTTTTTCGTTTTGGCTTATATGATAAAAATTGTAATAAATAAATAGAAACTTTAAATAACAAAAATGATCAGCAAGGCAAGATCAACAAACAAGACAAAATTTGCCGATATAGTTAGTAGACTGTCACTCTTCATAGGAGTGATTGCTCTTAAATGAGGATTTGTTTACCCTCTTTTGTGTTTTGAGCAAAAACTAAAGAAGATAGAGAGAAACTAAATAGAAAAAAATGATCAGCATTTAATTTACAAGATCAACAAAAAAGAAATTTTTGCCATGAATTCTATTCTTGTCTACAATGTTGGAAAGAGTCCACTGTTGATTATGCACATAGACCTAGATGAGCGACACAGGCTCTTTAAAGCCTCTAGTTTTATATTTCTTGCACTTTTAATTCTTTGATTCCCCAAGTTCCTAAATGTAGTACGAAGCTGTTGAGCATTGAGGGCCAAACATTCCGAAAGGTTTTGCCGAATACAGCTTAAGTAATCCAATCATTGGATAGAATATTCTTTATATTTCGAACAATTCTTTAATAATTTGTTTTTCAGTAAAAGTTTTCCTTTCGCATGTTTTATTTGATATTTGTGGATTGTCCAATTGGTCGGTATTCCAATGGGTACTTATTGAGCACCCTACTGGCCGACTTTTGCTTTACTCATATGAAGCAGAATGCATGCAAAACCTTCTCAAAGACAAAAAAAAAAATCATCCTGCAAAGTTCTTTAAATTCTCTTTCATATATATTGATTATTTCCTGTCACTCAATAATTCACATTTCAGTGAGTGCTTGTATCTTATTTATCACAGTAAACTTAAGAGTAAGTATACTATCGGAACTAAAAGGGCTGTTCCGTATAGTTTCCTCGGTGTTGACACAGATGGACGACTTCAAATTAAAATCTATGACGAGCGCGATTATTTCAACTTTTCAATTATGAAGTTCCCATTTCTCGGCAATAACAAACCCTCGGTTTCATCATATGGCGTTTACATATACCAGTTGATACATTACGCACGTGCATGCTAGCAGTGTATGCACAAAGTTGACGGCAACTGTAAAATGCGCTTTTAAAAGATGTTTTATGCCACCTTGTTAAAAATATCTTTTAAACAGGAAGGGTTTTTGAATGATAAAATAATAAATACTAGCCATTAAAATCCACATTATTAGTAAGGTTATCAAAATTCAAAATATAAAGTATTAAACGAACTTAGAGAAAATGGCAAAAATATGTGTAACTTGTAACATTAAATAAGCATAAAATAGATTTTATGACCTAAAATTTATACAAATTCAACATATTTACCCGAATTTTCGTATAATAGAATTTTTCGGATTCGGACAATGACGTTATACCAAATTTACCCCCCAAAAAATCAAAAACGGCCATGGTGAATGAGTTTGGAACGTAGTTCGCTATGTGTAAGAAGTAGAATTTGGAAGGATTAATATTCGCAAATGGAAGAATCGTCAAGAAAAAAATGTAATTGCTATTTTTTTTTATTACAAAATAACTTGATATTCCAAATGTGCATATCAAGAGGTTTAAAAAAATCTGCAAAATATGAATGATTCGATAGCCCAGGCTGAACACCTGAACCTTTTTAATGTCCAACTATCATGTTACAATAAAAAGAAATGACGTTTTAACGCGATTTTCTGAACATTGTCCCAGACATAATCGCTAATCATTTCCATTACACTGCTCTTAGCATATATTTATTTATGTTTCCAGAATGTGCATTTGCTGCACTTCGTTGTAAAAAAAAGAGGATTATAATGAACGTTTATGTTTAAAGTAATGTAATAAACTAAGTGTCCAGTGATTTTGTTACGCTTACGTTTTCTGGGGGAAAATGCCGACGTCGTAAATGATTTCAGTTATTTGAAGACGTTACGTTTGTGGACTCAGATTTATGCACGCCGTCTCACACTATACAGACTTTATTATCAGGGGTTTGCTCCTTATAAAAAAAAAACTGCGCCAACATAATTGAGGAAGAACGACTGAAATCTACACTGGATACGGTTAGGGTCGGCATCGCGAATGGTCGACCTATACGACATTTCTGTGACTCAACTCACTAGCGACATGTTTTCGCAGTCTTAGAACTTCAGATACCATAATAGTCGTCTAATCTGTAATTTTACCGATAATGTCCCATTCCCGATTGTGATAATTTGATTCTGTGTGAATTCGCATGGCGGGTGATGTATGCATTGCATTAAACGCTTACCCTGTCGACACACCTGGTCTCCTCTTTTGGAGCTCATGCGATTTGCTAAATTTTTGTGTGTTACGTTGTTTTTTCTTCTTAATCGATTTATGAGATTTGAACAACGTCAAACCTGTTTGCCTTAATCTAAGCATGCCTCACTATTCACAGTAACTTAAGGATTCGTATTGTAAGACTTACAACCATACACATCCTTCAGCTTTTACCTTTATGATAAGTGTTCTATAATCAAGTATGATAACTGTAACTTAAAAGTAGTAAGTCAAGAACACCTGCTACCATTGTGATCACATTGGCCGTTTGTATGCCTGTTTTACTTTTCAGCATCGTTTGTGTGTCTGGTTTTACTTTTCAGTATCGTTTGTATGCCTAGTTTATTTTTCAGCATCGTTTGTATGCCCGGTTTACTTTTTAGCATCGTTTGTATACCTGGCTTACTTTTCAGCATCGTTTGTATGCCTGTTTTACTTTTCAACATCGTTCGTGTGCCTGTTTTACCTTTTAGCATCGTCTGTATGCCTGTTTTACTTTTTAACATTGTGTGAACGCCTATTTTTACTTTCCCAGTTATATATGATGTTGTTTTATATATCCTCTGTATTTTCACAATCAAGTCAAGAACACCTGCTGTCATTGTGATCACAATGGTCGTTTGTATGTCTGAATAGTAGTGAATGACACCAAAGGAGTAGGGGCATTAAGGCCCGGTTTTGGCCCAAGAAAATAAAGTTTACATCATAATATTGTTCGTTCTCAAGAAAACGTAGAAAAATGCTGAATTAATGCAGT